GACTAAGAAACAACAGAGGACGGTGACAGATGAAGCCAAGAGGAGAAAAAAGAGAGAGTGATGGAGCAAGAAGTCGAGTGTACATCTCTGCAGATATCATTCATAACAGGCTGTGATGTAACGTTGGGCCGTTTTATCTGTGTCATCATGGTCGCATGTTTAGTAGCTTTACCAGGTGCAGAAATTAATCTAACCAAAGTAATGTGTCAGGCTTGCATACAAAGAAATAAATAAATAAATCCATCTTACATCAAGAGTTGTCTCTACAACAGGCTGTAGACTCTAGCAGTCATATTTGCACAAAATATTGTAATATAGAAATTTAAGGGATTGTGGTCAAAATGGGTCAAGTACAATAGCCCACGGAGACCCGATATGCTTTAGTTACCTCGTTAAATTGCCTACTGAGGAGACTGTCGTGAATGCATCTTTGTGGATAAATGAGTGAGTGTGACATCTTTTGTTTCTTTTGTTCTGATGTTTATATTTTGTTGTAAAGTAAAATGAAAGGGAGAGCAACAGCTGGAAGATATATTTTTGTTGAGAGATGGCCTGATACACTTACCTGTATGATGTCTTTATCATCATATATTTGTTATACATCTGTGTGTGAAGTGATTTGTGCAGATCTTTTGAATTCTGGATTATGTATGACCTCCCTGATAAAAAAAAATATATATAAAAAAATAAATCTTGTAATATTACTGTACCTCGTCTGTCGACATGGGTCTTTGGCTTTTCACAACACCGCTTCTCTGCTTGTCAGAAAATGCACATCGTCTGTGAGGGGGAGTAGCGGGGAGGCAGAACAGCACTTTTTTATAACAGTGCAGTTGCACTCAGAGACCTTCAGTGGGCGCCAAAGCGCACCAGACCAAAATCCTACATGTTGTTTTACTGTGTACACAACTCAACTAATTCAGTAACCCAGATCTTTTTTATATAGTTATATAAACCGTGTATTTGGATTTACTCTTCCTAAGGAGACAACAAGTGTATGATCTTTAAGACTTAAGCGTAATTAGTCTGTACTGATTATATTGCAGCTTTGGGAAATGTAACACCTGAGTGAAATAAAGAAACATCACACAGTGTAAAATTTCACATCTTTTTCATCAGTGGCAAGACAAAAGTAAAAATACTCCTTTGGGTGAAAATGTAAGGTGCAACTGTTCCACACTAAATTCACAGAGTGCTAAAAACATTTGGCCTCGTTCACTAATATGTGTAGAAATATTCTCACTGCACATAAAATAAGTGCATACGCAAAACCTTTGGATTCATGACGGATTATAATATGTCATGCATTTAGTTAAATGAGTTATGCTAACATTTTCTGAGAAAGCTGGTCAATAATTTGTGTGTACACATGGTCTGAGGAAGTTCTATTTTGGTTCACAGAGTAAGAATAATTCAAGTAAAAACATATTGATGAATCCCAGATTTGTGTGGCAAACGTTCGTACGAACGGTTTAAGAACAGATTCATGCGTACGCACTGTTTGTGAATGAGGCCCATTGACTCTTTTCTTGAAGTTAGTACAGGTAAAGACCCAAATTCTCTTATTGATTTCCAAGCAAGTTAATCAATTGAAAAAATAAACTTTGAAATCTTTTAATCTTTAAGATAAGTTGCCACTTAAGAAGAAAGCTATTCCTCATATTTGTGTATTCAGTTCACACATGTGTAGCAGAGTTGTAATTGTGTGTAGGATTCAATAGTTGAACCTGTGGTCATATGTCCTATATCTGAGGTGGAAATAGAGGTTGAAGTTCAAAATAAACACCCAAGAGTCAATCTCTGTACAATCACGAGCCAAAATTCCAAGAGACGGAAATCTGTAACACAGTCATCTATTATTCTGAAGCTATCCTGTTGGGATCACGTCGGGTCACCACGAACATGTTAGGGGTGGCACTGTGAGCTTAGAGAACACTGCTTTACTCCCAGGATGTTTCAAAGTCATGTCACCAAAGGATCTTGGGACTGTTCACCACTCTCGAGGGAATGAAAGGAAAACTTGTTGAAAATGTATAGGAGTCCTGAGTTTGTGTGTCTGGTCATGGGGTGGATTTCTGGGATATCAGGTATCATGACCTAAGTATAGGGAAGTGTGTAGTTATCCACGAGTATACTTGCACTAGTGTTTGACTGTCTGTGTGACAGGAGCAAGAGAGGGACTGAAAATGTTATTTTTTGTAAAATGCTCATTTAAGCTGCTCCAAGTGTACCTAAAGATGAAGAGTATACATGTGGTGCAGATTAGGGGTGGGGTCAGGACAAGGGATGGCCCAGCCTACTGTATCCGTTTTTACACTGAAAATCTCATTAAAAGCCACTCTGCCTCTTAGCTACATCACCAGAGGTAAGCAGATTTGGATGTTGCACTCTGCCTCTTCTTTTTAAACCCTCTGTCTGTGATCTTTTAGTGGGAACAATGGAAGAGATTACTGGGGGAGGGGGGGGGGCATGTATTGACTTTTTCTCTCTCCTCTTTCATCTTAATGCATCTCATTCCCCCTCATCCGCTTTTGTTGAACACCTTTCCTTCCCCATCAACCTTCAACAATCTCTATCCTTGCTGGAGAAAAATGGCATCCATTACCTTTGTCATGTAGTATACAGAACTATAATTCTTTACACTGACATACATGAGGGAAAGCAAGTAAGGTTGCCTATATGACTACAGAATGACAGTACTGAGGCATTTTCAGTCCCAGATATCAGACAGTTTTCACATTGCAAACAGAATGTAAAAGTTTGGGGAAACGTGTGCACATCCTGAACAATACAAACTGTGTAAACCGAGCCTCTACACATGGCTGAAGGATGGTTATCCTCTTTACTCTGAAGCATTCATCCCACAGGCTGCTGCTGGAGATAACGGTGTGTTTAGTGTTTGGATAGATAAATGTGGCTCATACCGAAGGTACTATAGCGGCCCTTTAAATGTTGTACCACTTCAATTATTTTAAGACAATTCATAAGAGAATCGTTTGACTTCTCATTTTCAAATGACTTTGTGATAACTTTAAGAGTTTATCATTGCTAGGTCTAAAACACACTTGTGCAGTTGTTTCCAAGAAGGCTGTTAAGTCAGCTAAAAGCTATTGTTAGCATGTCCACAACACAACAATGTAAAGCAGTTTAGTTTTTCACAAATGTCAGACATGTAGTTGTGACCCACGGTAGTTTGAAATGCTCTTTTTAATATAAAATAACTGGGATTCTCTTTAGAGAAATTAACTTCTTTTATCAAGGCTCTTATTCTCGACAATCCAAAGTGTCCTGAGCTTGAATGCGCCTCAGACTATGATAATTTTATAAAAGCAATGTCATCTTTTCTCCAAGAAGCATGCCATATTGGCTCAGCTGATCCTGGCGATTCTTAAGGAGCCTGTGCAAAGTCTGCAAACACAATACCATCCATGTTACCTAATGACACCAGTATCTCCAAATGTCTCAAACCCATAACATTGGATTACTCTAAACATTTGGGGCAAGTGTTTCCTTAAGTAGCCTGAAGGACAGGGTCTGTTTGGATTTTGAGATACTGGTATTTCTATATTTCAGAAGAAACTGAGCAGATTCAATAAATACTTTTCTTGTGATTCCGAGGTAGCGATCTTGTTAATTCAGAAAAAAAAGATTGTTAATTTCTCAAGTAAATGCTATTTCATTTAATTTGGAATAGCCCTTAACAAAAACACTTACGATTTTCTATATAATCATAGTAATCCTTTATAAGATCGAGCATTATGGTATAATGCCAATGCTACCAATTGCTGATGTAAAATTTCACACAATACACTATTTTAAAGTAAAACTAGAAGTAACATCATCTGGCGTCGTCTACATAATTTAGTTTTGATCCACATGGTACATATTTTGGTGGATATGTTTAACTTTAACACTGAGGGGGTTATGATTAGGATCCTTTATCATCTTGTTTTCTACCAAATTCCATGCCAATACTTACATGTGCTGTTGAGACATTTCACAAAATCAAAATTTAGAAGAAGACCACAAGAGTCAGAAGATCACCCTTGAATGTCAACATACAAAGTTCATGGCAATCTGTCCACTAATTGTTGAGCCATTTCAGTCCGGATCAAAGTGACATGTGGACTGATTTGCCGTCCCTGGAGCGATAACACTTTCTTTCTAAAAATGCAACCACTTTGTCTCATCCACTTAAGCGTGATAAATGATGAGAGCACGCCGGGCACCTTAAGTAAGGAATAGTAATGACCTCTGTTTTGCACAGCGTAGCATTTTGGTGTTAATTGCATTAGGTTGCAAAGTGCTGTTAAGGAACCTGAAAGGTCTGCAGGTGCCGCATCACTGGCTAATCAATTGCTATTATCATGTACTGTACAAAGGTCTCGACCCCAGGGACGTGTTGGACGCTGCTATTAGTTTCCTCCTATTTAGACTGAAGATGCTCTGCAGACACAGCACTGTTGAATTGCAGCTGAGGGATTATTTTAAAGATTTTTAGTGATGGTTATCTACAAAAATGGTCTTGTTGTTTAGAATCATCAATATAACATGACACAAAGGCTTCACTCTGGATGTGAAGTCTAAATATGAAGCCATTATGGGATATTTTAAGGTTCCTCTACTGCTGCACTTTCAGGAGGAACTGTTTGAAAAATGTTAGTGTGCATCTGTTGTGGCAGCACAAAGCTGAATTTCAGCATCTACTGTTTTGTTTTAGTTGTGCAACTAAACAGTTTGGGACACTGAGTACCCATTGAGCCTCAGAGGAAACATAGACTGTCCTCAACAAATGTGATTATGAGGATTAGTACTGTCTCACCCTATCTCCCCCCAATCCTCCCCGTCCCCTCTGACCCTCTCAGTCATCAGAGGGAGGGAGGGATGGAGCGGAGAGGGCAGTTGGCAACAGGTTTCACTGGACAACATAATTTACTCCAGCTTACAAACAGCTCTTTCTTTATATGTGCACAGAGGTATTCATTTAATAACACTTTAGATGTCACGTTTTTCAAGTATATTCCATTGATTTCTTTGAAGAATACCAAAGATGATAAGGATGATGTTTCAACATGCGAAGAAGCATCCAGGGGTAGGTTCACTTCATTTATGTAATGTGTAATGTGAATGGATTTTGTGGTCTAGTGTTCAAAAATGTTTGTTGTGTTTCCAGAGGATATAATACGAGATTGCAACTAAATTAATTTAATGTACAAACAAAACTTTTTCGAACCCTAACCCAGACTGGCAGGTCATGAAATAATATTTTTTTAATCAGATCAGACATTGAAAAAATATTATTCAGGCAGACTAGCTATTGACAGTAATATAAAACTCTGTTAATTGAATGAAAACACAGAGCTGGAGCTGAAAGCTTTCAAACAAGAAAGTGGATCTTTGCGTTTTCATTTTATACAAATTTAAATAACTATAAATACTGGTTGTCTGAATCTAATACAAAAGTACCAAGCCTTCACATTATTTAATTGTATCATAGGACTGTTAATTTGCTTTGTAATGAATGAAGAAAGAAAGGAAAAGAAAGTCACATAATAAGCTGTCAGTGCTTGTTTTTCCTCTTGCCTCAGAGCTATGTGGAGGATGACCCAAATTCATGGATTGACAGAGTTGGCTTGGCAGAGCACCAGAAAAGTAATAAGGGCAGCAACAGTATCGAACTCCAGCAAGTATAAAACACCTTCTATATCGGTCAGGCTGAGTTGTAGAAGGTGAAAAACACACTTGTGTGGAGGGATATGAAGATATTCGAACCAGAGAGTAGACAGCTCCCTGCACAGGCCTGTCCTGCTGTTTACTTAGAGTGTGTCAGTTTGCATGTGTGAGGTGTGTGATTGTGTGTGTATGTGTGTGTGTGTGTGTGTGTGTGTGTGTGCGTGTGTGCGTGCGTGCGCGTGCGCGTGTGTGTGAGAAAGAGTTGGTGTGTGTAGGCATGTGTCAGTCATCCAAGCTGAGTTGTTTGTGTGTGTTAAAGCTTGGCTGTTTACGGTTTCAATTAAGGAAATTGGGGGTCTGCTGTCAGGGTATAACATGTGTGTATTGTAGGTGTATGAGTGTTTATGTTAATATGTTTGTGTGTGTGTGTATGCATTGTAAACTTTATTTTCTGAGGCTTATTTATGGAGCAATATGTAAGATATCTGACATTAAGGAAACATATAATTATGTGCTGGCTTCTCTGACAGCAGTGCAGCATCAGTATGTCCTCCTTCTGAGTTTAGATACAGTCCATGTCCTGAATGGTCTGTATTTGTTTTGACCAGAGACGTAGGGACGTTTTTCTAGTCTGCACTGTTGGGGATTAGCATGCCCAGGAATTCACCTACGCCTGCCACCCGGCTTGTCATGTACCCGACTCCCATGTCTCTCCCTGCGGGTGGTGGGCATTACAGGGCGGCGGATCTATGTTGTTCCGGAGCCCCGCTTTCCCTCTCCCGGGCGAGGTGACTGGCTCCCATTTTTCTGCTTCATATGGGGTTTTGTGAACCGCTCTTAGTCTGGTCCATCCCCCGGGACCACTTTGCCTTGGGAGAACCTACAAGGGGCTAGTGCCCCCGACAACACAGCTCCCGGGTTCACCAGGACACGCAAACTCCTGCACCACGTTGAGGTGACGATTCTTGCCAAGTCTACAAGTGTTTTGTGGACTTGGAGAAGGCTTATGACCATGTCCCTCGATGGATCATGTGGGGGGGTACTGCGGGAATATGGGATCCCGGGGCTGTTTAACTGGTTCTGTCAGGATCTCAAGGAGCAGCCTGGGGAGGAGGGTTTCCAGTTTAGGGGACTCAAAATGTTGACCCCGGGGTAGATCCAGCTGGAAAACGTTGCTATGGAGAGGAAAGTCTGGGTCCTGCTACCCAACCTCAGAAGAGATACGCAGAAGAAAATGGATGGATGGCAGAGTAGGCAGTTTTAAGGCAACCCCCCAATAGCCGTTTTGGACGCCCCTCGGTCTGCCAGGCAAACGGCAGAGTTACAGCAATGGAAGCGGGCAAGCAAAGTGGTTCAGATACAACAGATTTAACCGACCTAAAAGGACTCAGTATTTTTCTAATAAGCTCCACAACCAGAAACGTGATCAAACTGAGATGAATATTTGAGATCCATTTGAAAAATAGACAGGTTAGAACACAGAAAGGTTTCAAGACTGATACAGAGCTGGTTAAATACTGAAGCTTCAGTGTTCGGACATGGCAACCTGCGTGCACATGGACTCTAAGCAGGAGGAGGCGGGGAGGGAGACAGCTCTTTCTAATGTTTTGAATTTGGACTGCAGTACCAATTTTTTCACTAGCTTTGGTGTGCTTTGCTTCCTTTTTCATGTTCACAGGAAATAAATCAAGAATTCAGAGGTAAGGGGAAAAAAACATCAATAGAAAGTACACAGGAAGTTTTGGGGGATTTGAATTGTAAGCGCCCCAGTCCGCAATCAAAAAAATGGTTAGTGGCATCCTTATTCAGAATCTCAACCAATCTGATATGAGCAGCAGCTTGCTATCAAAATATATTTTGGCATCTGATTTTTTCAGTCCAAGAGTTGTCGAATAGTTGTTTTTGAGTATATGAGTGTGTAGCAGAGGGACGAGAATTTTCTTCATCTCTTAGCAGCAGCTTTAAGATTGTGAATATCAAAGTTTTATCACAAGACGTTCTCTTAATCAACAACAAAGCAAGTGGCAACGCAATCAGACAGAAGACAGATGTCTGGATACAGCTGAGCAGTGACATCCTTCAGTTCAACCTGATCAAACTGTCATCTCTCTACAGCTTCACTGGATCTGTGTGGGCTGAGAACAGCTGTTCAGTGGTGGCATGACTCACTCTCCCCCTCTCTCTCTCTCTCTGTCTCATACACTGAGTCTCTAATAGCAAATATGTGTTGATGAATAGATGCTACGCAGTGAGAGGATTGACGCGGCTAAGCTTTGGCTGTTTAAGATGACATATCACATTATCCCCCTGTCCCCTTAATGTGCTTTTCTATTTTAATTCCTGTCATCATCACATCCCAGAACATCAAATAAAAGTGTGTCTTCTTGTGTGCATGTGAGCGATTGTGCATGCTTTCAGACCTGCATGTTTGTGTGTCTCGCTTTGTGTGTGCGTGTGTGTGAGAGAGAGTGTGTGCATGTGTGTGTGTGATGCTGTCGCTCAGTCTGACAGGTATAGTGTAGAAGAGGAGAGACTGGCACACACACACACACACACACAAACAAACACACACACACACACACACACACACACACACACACACACACACACACACACACACACACACACACACACACACACACACACACACACACACACACACACACACAAAGTCATACAGCAGCTCTTTCTTCCACCGTGTCCTTGCCCATTCAACCCAGGCTGACAGTGAGCCGCCGCACACATGGCCTGGACCTCATGCATATGGAGGAGGGCAGGGAGAAGAAAAACAGGAATAACAACTATGTGTGTCTGTGTCTGTGTGTGTGTGTGTGTGTGGGGGGGGTTCTCTCACAGGTGTATGTTCATGGTACATATCACATCCAACCACTTGATGGAATATGTTTGTTTACCTTTATGAGTCTCTGTGGTCTGGGACTAACGTATTCAACTGCTCTCTTCTCCCCCCTCCTCTCTCCTCTCCTCTGCTGCTCTCTTCTTTTTCACAGTTAATCCCGCAATTTTTCTTCCTGACTCTCGGCATCACAGGGGCCAGTCTTTATCTGATTCGTCTGGCAAGAGGACCTCATGTCACGTAAGACTGTCATTTGTCTACAGTTAGAGTTATTATGGTAATCCTCCAACTTGTCAATGTTATTGTCAGATTTGACACAGTCGAACATGACGCCAAACACAAAAATGTTTAGTGACTGCAACAAACTGAACTGAACTTAATTTCTCAAAGATATATTTTCATTTGCAAAGGGTGTTGGTAGTTCATCAAGACCAGCCAAGCAGCACCAGAATCTCCTTGATAAACCAATCTCATATGGAGCAGAGTAGCGCTGATTGACTAGCGTGGGAACAAACGGCACTGTAGTACGCAGCGCACACAGACTATGTGGAAACTGCGGGAGACGCTTTTTAGTGAAGCAGTTTTGAATCAGGACTTATTGTCATTTTAGCAATTAGTGTGTGAGAAGTAAGGTATACACCAAAACAAAGCTTTTATTGTGTATGAATAATCAAAGCTTTATAAGTTTATAAGTACCACTGCATACTAATTCTATATTACTGATTGAGAACATAAATTCAAGGCTGTACCATTACTGTTTTAAAGATTTTGTAGAAAAGGAAACTGAATACTGAATACTGAAAAAAATCTTTCCTCATTAGGGCCATATACTTGTTGTATTGTAGTTTGTAACAAACTTCTAAAAAATTACCATATTTCAGAAGCTGTAATACTTAAAATGAACAGTGAACTCAGTGACTGAACATAAACAGTACATATGTACTGTTCATATCCTATTGTGGGCCACACAGAGGCACTTGTTCTAAGGGGCAGCCATAATGCCTGACCTCATCACCAGCTGAGGATGAGTGCTGTGGTCAGTGGTTTCCTCTCCCTCAAAGACCGGCCAGTGTTTGTGGTAATGGAGGGGAGAGAGGGAGACGTGCCCGCCTCGCCATCAGCCTCCCGGTCTCTTTGTTTGTGCATTTGCTGCGTGATGTGCTGCCAGAGGGGGAGGAAGAGAGGGGGGGTGGAAGGGGGAGTAGGGGGGGTGGACAGACACAGTGGAGAGCTGTGAAATCCAGACTTTGGTTAATGAACAGAGGAGCACTGCCAAGTCACTGGGCTGAGTTCACCTCCTCTCATAATCACCTCACTTTATTTTTTTCAAACTTGAGTCTCCATCCAGCATGTATGAATTTATTTCCATTTGTCTCTGTCCTTCTGCTCCTTTGTCCTCTTTTCACTCCTAATTGGTAACATCTAACTCATTTTTTTGTTTTTACAAGTCTTATTTCTCTCTGTGTTGCTCTTTCCATTCTTTGACTTGCTCATCTGTATTTCTGTCTATCATTCTTTTTTTATTCTTTTTTTTCCTCTTCCTCATGTCTTTAATCTTTCTACACGTGCAGCCTCTGGGATAAAAAGAACAACCCAGAGCCTTGGACTAAACTCGATCCAACCTACCAATACAAGGTACTGTATCTCCTTTAAACAATACATCACAGCACACGCCTGCTTACAGCAACTATGTCGACCAGGGAAGTAATTTTGACATGTCCCTGACAATCTCACATTCATCATCAACAACCTTAAAACCTACCAAAATAGATTTGGACGAACAAATAGTGGAGAAATAATCTCAAATCAACATGTCTGCTATCTAGCTCCCTCCTGTCCAAACAAAAGAAAAACAAAGTGTATATCAAAGCAAATTAAGGCAGATGGAACCAGGAGCTTTTAGAGATCTGTAATAATTTGCTGTACCTCTTGAACAAGGCCAGAGCTGCAGACAGACTAATGAAAATATTAACAACGCTGACCCAAAATAGAGCAGAAAAACAACCAACTGACAGCTCCCTGAAGAGGTGTGAATGATATGTTTTTCAGAGAAAAAGAGGATTTTCTGAAGGGTTTCAAGGCCGCCTTGCTTGCCAGTGGAATGAAAGTCGCTGCCGACAAAAGGTCAGGACACGGGATGTTTAATTCTCGATAGCAAGGCAAAGGTCTCGCATAGAAATTCCACTGAAGTCCAAACAATGATCCTAATGAGGAGGGGGAAGTGTGAGAGAGGGGTGGGAGAAGGAGTGAGGCGATGATATTAATGGAAGACCATTTAAAGAAAATACACAGGGAGGAAATAGTCACTGCCAGGGCAAAAATGTAGGATTTTCATGGTCGGAGGGCTTTAATGTCTGAAGAACACATACATGCTGTCACAAAAAATCATTCAGTGTGCAAACTGTTCTGGAGGAAGTATAAAGAAATGAAATCATAGGCAAAAATGTTTGTGTTGCTTATGTGTATTTGTGTTTGTATTGGGAGAAATGTTAAGCCCTGCCACTTTTTTCACCATGCAGTCTTCTTAAGACAGCACTGATGAATATAATTTAAGCAAAGCAGATTTAAATGTATTCCTCCTGCTTTCCACAGTTTGTGGCCGTCAGCACTGACTACAAGAACCTGAAGAAAGAGGGCCCTGACTTCTAAAGGTCCTCCACGCAACTGCAGGGACACCAAGTTTGGAATGAACTCCTTCTGTCACCTCAGAGATGTAAAAACGTCTTCCTGGACATTTTGTCTTTCTCACAAAATGCAGAAAAGAAATAAATGAACATTGTAAGATAGTGAAACAAAACTATTAAAGACCGCATGAGACAAAAGACTGGTTCGTCAATGCACTACTGTCGTTAAAAAGCATAAGGGAAGTTCATTTGCTACTTACATACAGGGTATGCATTGAAATGCTTCACTTTGGGAGAATAGCCAAGTTTATTTCTGGGAATATTTGCATTTTTCCCTTTTTATTTCAATAACCCTGCCATCTGAGAGTCCATCATTCATCTACTAGATCTGAGTTATATCTGCCGTTTATTCCCTTCCGTTAATTTGTTGCAGAGATATATTCTTTAGGTGTGTCTGACAGTTAAAGACTTAATATTTTAGCTGCAGACCTGACGGTAACAAACAGAGCGGTATGGAACTAATTATATAAACATGAAAGTATAGCCTAATTAAAAGTGATGATACACTTAACGCTTTTGACCAGGGTCCAAAATGTACATCCGTGTCTAATGAAGGCAGATTTTCCCTTTTGGTGAGTAACTTTCATAGAGCTCTCTGCCATATGGCGGGTAAATTTTTATACCAAACAAGCAAGAAACACCAACATTACATTGCTTCACAAACGCACACACACCAGAACACCGCGCTCTCTCTCTCTCCCGGTCACCCTCTCAATCTCTTGTGCACGCATCAATTTTATGAATGAATAAAAAACAGTTCGGAACAATACGTGGGCAGCCACAGATAAACTTGGGCAGCCTGCCCAGGTATTTTCTTTGCGTGGGAAACACTGAAATCTCAATGCTCACTTTTCAACCCTGCTACCAAACATAAGGGCTGGGCAATATGGACCAAAAATCATATTTTGGTATTTTTTAGCTGGTGACGAAAATTATATATCGCAATATTTATTTATGTCAGATCTGAGTCAAATCTACTTGGGCTGAATGCCATACAAAAAGAATAGCTCTTTGTGAAAAAAAAAAATTATAAAAAAAAAATCCATCTTAAATAAAACAAAAGAAATAACAAAGATACATACAGCTTTGTATTTTGTAATGCTCGCAATTTTCAAGTTTGGCTCAGAGAGGCAGAGAGGCGGGGCAGAGTGAAGAGGAACAAACAGTGAGAAGAGAAAAAGTCAAACTGGCGTACTTCGGAAGGAAACTATAATATATCTTTAATGCAACGTAAACTAGATCAATAAAAATGATATTGTCTTACACTATGTCTTGTTTGAAAATATATAGATATTTATATAGAAAAACTCAATATATAACCTAGAAAAGTGAAGCTAAGATGGTCAACAAACTCAAAGAGGTGATAAAAAGACAAAATCTAGCTTTTGGATTCCAGGGTAAAAAAAAAAAAAAAAAAAAAAAAAACATTAACCGAGCTCATCACATTAGAATTCAGTGCTGCAGTGACATGTAAGTTACACATACACACATCATGCAGAGATATGAAGTTGCACATGAAGAGGACAAAAATCGTGAGTGATGAATGTCTGCATGGGTGATAGACCAGACTTCAAACATGCTAGTCCAAACAGACCAATGACTTAACGTTTTGATCAAAGCTCATATGTTGAAACTAAAATATGACTCTAACTCCAGTATAAAGCAGAATGGTGTTAAGTTGCGGAACTGGTATTTTCTCCAAACATTCCTCAATAGTTACACTTCTCCCATGGTAGAGCTCATTGAATGATGAATGTTTGTGTCTGTTGTGCGTGTGAATTTGCTCTCACGCAGTACCAATGGACACCAGACAACATAAAATCAGTTCTAATGGCACACAAACTGTCTCAATGTTAGACCCATGGGTTCCCCTTATATGTCCCTTAATAGACAATCTATGTTCCAGACCTTGCATTGGCCCATTTATGTGTGTGTGTGTGTGTGTGTGTGTGTGTGTGTGTGTGTGTGTGTGTGTGTGTGTGTGTGTGTGTGTGTGTGTCTGTGTGCTTTTAAACAGCAACAGCAAACTGCCCAGTGGGTGTTGTCTGTTGCTGGGTGGTGATTAGTGTGTATTTGTGTGTTTGTGTCAGATGCACAAAACCTGCTGACAGGTAATCAGCCGGGCCAAAGTATCACACTGGGGTATAATCACAAGGTCACACACACACACAGACACACACAGGGAGGGGGCAGTTATTACCCAACCTGAACAGCTTCACAGGCCGTCGTGATTGCATTGCCTCACTCTGTTAGTATCAATGGGAAACTTTAAGGTTGAGAGTGAGGCATAAAAGAAACACCACATCATAACATTCAGGTTTTTTTTCACTTGTCATGCACAAGAAGGATCCTGGACCACATGGACTCATAACAGAAAAGAGTGAAAACAGAATCTGAGCAAAGGGGGGCACCGAATAGCAGTTATGTATTGTGCACTCCGTTTATAGAGGCTGCAGTCCCCGTAGCAGCAGCAGGGGCTTCCAATCTGACTTCAGCCCTTTGCCGCATGTCATCCCCCACCCTCTCTTCCCAACTTTTCCTGTCTCTCTTCGTCAACCATTTAATTTATAATCAAAAGTTCTTAACTCAAGTCCCAATTTTGAACTTTTCTAATTGAGTTAGAATTGAGTCTCTTATATTAGGGCGGCTGTGGCTCAGTTGGTAGAGTCATTGTGTCTCAACCAGAAGGTGGAGGGTTCAATCCCCAGCTGAGCAACATGTCCGTTGTGTACTTGGGCAAGACACTTAACCCTGAATTGCTCCCGCTACTTCAGTGGCAGTGTATGAATGGGATTAGTTACTTCTGATGGATGATATTACATAGCAATCACTACCATCAGTGTGTGAAAGGGTATGAATGAGAGGGTGTGACATGCAGTGTAAAAGTGCTTTGAGTAGTCGGCTATATAAGCTCAAGTCCAAGTCCATTTATTAGCTACCAACCAAAAATCTGTATTAATGATTTCAATGTATTCAGAAGTTGTTTTTAAACGAGTCTGCCTAACTATAAATGTATGAACTATTTTTAAATGTATATTTTCCCCACTTCTGGTGTGTCTGAAGAGTTTCCGAGCAAGTGTAGCCCTTAAAGAATGCCATTCACTTTCACCCAATTTCCCAAGCAAACAGGTTCCTCTGCACTATCGGTGTATCGGTCACAATAAAGGTGTTGATGTGACAATAAATGTTTTTAGAGAGTTGTCATCTAGAAATGTTTTAAAGACCAGCCAAAAGCTAAGTGCTTATGAAAAATAAGTTTTAGGAGATCTAGGAGTTTGGTGACACTGAACTGAGAAAATGAACAAATGGTTGAAGCTTTGTATTAAAGAAACCAAATAAGATTTAAGTGACAAACTTGTCGGAATGTGCACAGCCAGAAATAGAGCTGAGTGATAAATTCATATGGCTTTAGTTTGTGAGTGTGTCAACAAACACACAGTCCTTTTTAAAAATGGCAAACATTAAGTGGGACATGCAATCTCAATCAGGGCCTCAGTAAGCAACAAAGTCTGGCAGTGTGTGATTAAGATCTCAGTTTAACAAACACAGGTTCTCTCTGTCGTTTTTCTGCCTCAGAAGTTAAAGCAGAAGCACTTTCTCAGCAGATACTTGAGCACTTGTCAGTGAGAGCGAGGCAGATTGAGAGAGGCCATCTCCTCCTCGATTACATCCTGACGAGGAAGAGTAGATATTTTTAGACGAGGATTAATTTTAATGGGTGAGATAAGAAGTGAGTGGTGGGTTGGAGGAGGGACGAATAAATAAGTAAATAGGACATGCTGAAAAACAGGAGGCGACAGTGGCAGAGTTGGGTATAGTGTGGTTGCTGTCGGGAGGCCCTGGGCAGATCCACTGATCCGCTGGAGATAGCGAGGCCTTTAATGTTTTCTCCCAGAGGTGCAACGGGAAAATCAAAGCGCAAACTAGAGTTTGTCCATTACCCCAATGGAGCAACAGTTCTTAAAGGTTGAGAGAGGTTTGTAGGTTTGATTGTGCTTTTGTTCAGACTCTAATAGATCTAAGAATCTAGGAAGAGAAAAATGTGCTCACCTGATGGTGACAGATGTTAGCTCTACCATAACACAACTAGTCAATGAAAATTAAATTCAAAGTTGACACCTTTTTAAAATTCTTAACAACCAGCAGTTTTGTGCCTGCTCAAGCCTCTTAATGCAAGTCATGTGCAACTCTTTGTCAGTTATGATTTCATTTCATTCAGTCCTTCAGTTCTCAGTCCTCATTTTTATCAAAAAATAATCAGAATCAGAATAAAGACTTTGGGGATTTTGGACATAGGTGTTACTGTGACTTTTTAGCAAAAGTTTTAAACATGTTATAAAGCAATTATTGATCTGAAATGAATTGAAATGATCAAACCTACATTGTTCAATTACAAAAGATGCTTTGTACTGCAGAATTATTTTCTTGCTCAAATTATGATTGGCTTACTGATTTGCGCACACATTTAGTCTCATTTGCTAACTTGTCAGCCACAATACATTCATGTATATTCATTAAGTCTTCAAAAGATCGGATTACAGAGATGTTCAAATATTGCTCTGCAACACTTTTCTATAATTCACCGCTCTGCTAGCATCAGACAAAATTCCCTGATCATTGCTTAAGGGTGTTTGAAAATTAACTTAAGGTTACTTAACTCAGGTTAAGGAGTTCCAATCATGTTATTTATAACCACAGCTTCTTGTTAAAGTATACTGTCCAGTGTCCACAGGGCAAAGTTGTTTCACAGCCACAAGAGGATATCCCACGAGTCATTTCTGTTCACAATGCCCCTTTAGAGATGTTAAAAATAACAATTTAAGGGCTAATTTAGGAAACACTGACAGGTAAATGTCTTCAAAAAGTATAAAAATGTAAATAATAAATGTGTTATTGCAAGAATCCAACAAATTGCATCTTTGATAGAGAACATCTGCTAGTTTAACAATCTCTTATAAGTCTTGGTTTACAACACAAATATTGACCTTGTATCCGACTCATCACTCACCCGTCAGCTACTGAATGGTACATGGTTTCGTATCCAGCTTTTCTGTTTGCTAATAATACTGCCAAACATCAACAACGACAAAAAAAGGTTTCATGGAGCCCTACACAAATCACTAGCCCAGAACACAACTGAGCAACTCGTGCACACAGCTGCAGTGAGCAAACAGACAACATCACATCTCACTAAAAATATCACAGTGCACAAGGTAACACATCCTGCCTGCGTGAACTCCTAAAGATGCCAGCGGCATGTTTTAATACACAGCATGAGAATAGCTCACACAGTGTGATAAACAGGACAAAGAATTATGCTGCATCGACAGTTTTGTTCTTTGAGTCCCTCATCGCTTCAGGAGTGAAAAGAGTTTCCATCGAGTTAGAGGAGAAATAAAAAGGCTCCAATTATTGGCTCCCTGACGCAGGTTTACTGCAGGTGTGACAAAATGTTTGTTTACTGACGGTACAGTGTTAGTTGAAAATGAGAAAAATATATTGATATAACAGGTATGAACCATTTTACTGCCTATTAACACACACACACACACACACACACACACACACACACACACACTTCACTGTATTGCAGGGAGTGTCAGGTGGTTTTCTTTACACAGATCACTCTACTTATTCAGATGATTAATTGTCTCTACCTCCTGAGCACGATTTAAAGGCAGGGTGGCATGATTTTAAAAAGTAGAATTCCCTCAGTGCTCCGTCAACACCCAGCCCCTCCCCTCACTTACATGCACGAGCGCATTGCTCCAGAAGCGGACCTCAGCTCACCGCTTGCATTGAGAAACAACTACGTCATCTCATGTCTCATTCAGTGGTAAGTAAACACTAATGAAAGAAACACATACTTTCATCTAATGGAAACACTATACTTGTTTAATCTGAATCATATCAAACAGAAAGCCTTCAGGACATTAAAAGTAAAGCCAACAACATTCTTTTAAAACCTTTGGAAAAGAGACTTTCACTGACGGCAGGTATTTTGCAAGGTAAAAAGTAAGAGAGGCAAACTATGACGAGTAAACCAGAAAGCCATGACAGTGATAGTGACTGAGCATGCACAATACCATGACATTAAACAAAGCAGCAACAGTAAATGGATTTCAGTTATAATTATTGTTTTCTACAGTTGTTTTTTCCTACTGTGGCATTATATATTGCTTTTAGTGGTTTGTTTAGTAGAGCTTCCAATTATCCCATGTTTATGACATCTCGTGTTACTGTGGAGTTTGGATGCACTTACAGCAAGTCGCTCTGGACAAAAGCTCCTGCCATGAGGATTTAATGTGTCAAACACACAAAAACAGTTCATAGCTCGCAACTTGCAATTTATTTTTCACCTTGAAGTGAGACAGTTAAGCTTTGAAGGAAGAAATAAGATGTTTGTGTTGAATCAAGGAAGAGATCCGCACTTGTATCAATTATAAACCGGCCTTTCCAAGAGAGACGGCTGACGGCCAACTAGTCACTTAATTACAGTCGGCTACTTTTCCTTTTGTTCATTCTAATACGATAGTTTGACTCGGAGGAGCAGCTTGCCAACAGGCAGGGCAAGGCAACTGTTGGCCCAAAATGTTCAAAGGCGATTCCAAAGTTTTTTTTGATTGGGGTGCATGGCCCAACTGGGGCCCTGACTCTAGTCTAGCCTTGTCATTTTACCCTTACTGCCCCCACTTATCACATCTATTTCTAACATAAATAAAAAAAAAATTGCTATGGTATAATTTTTTACTTTATGAAATCACTGTTACTTTTGGAAACAAATAAACAAAAAAAAATAGAACAGCATATGTAGAATAAAATGTCTTCCCTGCTTGTGCTGTCTTTGCTCTGCACATTTTTTACAAAAAGAGACAGAATTAGTGAAAACGCCTGTGTGGATGCACGGGGTATTTATTTATTTATTGTATTACATTGATCTTTTTTTAACAAATCTTTTTTTTTTTTATAGCAGATCACGGCAAAGAATGAGAAGAATATCTGTTTTCTTCTTGATATCAGTGGCATTAGCAGCAGGTGCGGTAGTATGCAAGGATTAGGAGGACAGGGATTAGGATTATTTTAGAGACAGAAACCTCCGGTATGCACACTGAAATGATGCGTTTTATGAGGAGCACTCATGTTTCATTACGGCATAATTACAGCGCATTAGTGTGGCTTGGATGTCTAAATATGATTTGGAACATCATTACACCCAGACAGTTCTTCCTATCTATTTTTAGATCGTTTTACTATCATATCAACTTCTGCCAGGTTTAATTATGACAGGCATTGAAGTGACAGAGGAACAGTCACGCATAGTACGTCTACACACACACACACACACACACACGACAAACTGAAGATACATTCTAATTAATTGCTGACATTGTCATTTATCCCTCTCCTCATTACACAGACGTGATTTATTGTCATATCAGCTACCAAGGGAACTGAATTTTATCATCTTTTCATTTTATATTTTTACACACTTTGCAGCGTTCATGAGTGTGTGTGTTTCTAGACAACAGAGGGCACATTAGAGCTGAGTTTTAAGGCTTTGATATATGACCCACATTATGAGGAAATATAGCAGATGGGTAATACTGTGTACAATTATGACAATTAGAACTGAAGAGTACTTTTTCATCGCACTTTTTCTCTTGGTATGGACCTATTCATTTTACAGAGTGATTTTACAATCAGTTCTGCTGCTAAAAGATATCGCTCATCTGTGCTGCTTCTCAGGAACAGCAAATTGTGTTAAAACCCCAACAGGGTGAGGAGACGGTTCATAACGAACCAACAAAAACTGTAAGGAGCCTTAAAATCCCCCACCGCAGTAAATTACTACTGCATGTTAACATTGCTTGCATTTTTATTCATACACAAATGGAAGCTTCTTGCAGCAGTTTCCATTATCTGCATAAGCCAAAAAAACACAACTGTCTCCTAATGCACAGAGCAGTAATGGATTTTGCAGGCATTGTTAACAGATCTTAAAAACTGGACAAAAAAATATAGTGCTTGTTTTGTCCCTCTTAATTGTCATGTCTTCTTATAAGCTGTAAGCACAGCAGACAGGAGTTGATTAAGTACTGCTGAATGATAACAAAGTTGGCTAACATATCAGTGCTTGCAGGATACTGATGCTGGACTACTTAAGATGAAATGGCCTGTTGTGAATTGAGCTGGACCCTATTCATCAAAGACTCCAACCGCATAAGAACAGTGTGTGTGGGATTTAGTGACATCTAGTGGTGAGGTAGCACACTACAACCAGAGCTGACAACCACTCCCCCTCACCATCCTTTTACAAGTGTGTAGGAGAGCTTGCCATGACCACAATACTTGTGAAAAATACAAAAAGCCCGCTCTAGAGACCGAATTTGTAAGTTGTAAGCTACTGTAGAGAAACATGGCAACCTCCTAATGAAAGGCTTCTGATATATCTAGAAGGTGTGTACAATGTATTGCTAAAATTTCAAGGCATTCATTTGAAAGTAGGTTCATATTTTTAACAATATAGCCCAATGGACTGTTACTATCAACCACTCTTGTAAAAAATGAAACAAAATATTTATGACTTAGGTAAAGGTAACACATTGACATGACTGGTCCTGAGCTAGAAAGGTTTAATGAATCTTGGCTCCAACCAAGCCACCACCCCCTCAGCACATTAGAGGGACAAGACCAAAATAAACAGGCAGAGCAAACAGGCAGAAGTTACTTCATTACAGTAGATGTAGCATAAAGCATTCAAACAGACACAGCTTTAATACAGCAGCTTTAGCATTGCTTCCATCACTTACTTGGTGCAGTAGTTATTGTTAGTTATTCCGAGCTTGTCAGAAAGGATATCCTTCGGAAAGAAATCTAATTAGTCCTACTTGAAACTAACTAAATAACATAGACTGCTTCCTTATAAATTGCCATGTTGAAAGCAGTGGTGGTAGGCTATTTTCATTAGAGTTTCAGATATTTTGAAGCCAGTTAAATTAGTGAGAATAGGGGCGGGGCATAAGGTATGTTTGGCACGCTTTATCAGAAAGGTGTGTTTGATTTATGTTACAGACAGGAGAGGGAAGTCATGTGTTCAATGAACGCTAGTACTGAACTCACTCTCACCTTATTTTACAGTGCTCTGCATAGACAAAAAAAATACAGAATACAATTCGGATAAGATGAGCAAAATGATATGAAATGGAAATTGTCAAGTCCCATTCAAATATTCTCTTTAGTTTACAAGGCTTAGGCCTTAATGTTCTTTGCTAGCTAGCCTCGGATTGTATCCATTGATTGATTCTTGTAATCAGTACTGTAGAATATCGAGTTGAATGTCAGATTTTCCTTAAAATGCAAATACAAATGAGCAAACAGACCAAAGTGGTAGTTATCTGTTTGATCCTTCCTTAAAACAAGAGAGTTCTTGTTGAAATGTAACATTCATATCAAACAAAACACAAATCATTTTGCATTACATCATATTTTATTAAGACTCAATTCATACTAATTCAATGTTAATCAATAAAAATGTTCTGTAAAACAAAGTAAGCTCAAACTTGTGCTGATGTTAAATGGCTGGTAATATATCTGAAGAGACAACAGGTAGGCATGGATAGTTTTAAGAACACTGAATGTAATAAAACAAACTGGATACTTTTTTTTTGGCAAAGTCTAGACCTCTAGTTAACAGCATGTTGTGATAAGTAGATTTGATATGATTTGGTTCCCGTCAGAAGCTGTGTTTAGTGAAAAGTTAGAAAGAAACCACAGCATTTCGCACACCCTTTGTCAATGGAGCCATAAAACAAACAGAAACTTTACTTTGACACTGATGCAGTGACAATGAAAACAGTTCTAGTCTGTGTACCATATGGAAAACTAAACAATCTGAAAAGGTTTTAACAAATTAAGCTGCTTTACAGTTCCCATCACCATGAACAAATTAACAACACTCAAATCAATTCGGGCACATCAGCTTATAGTGAGACCTTCAGATTTATGTGACATGATGACAGACACAATAGTTCACTCTTTTTAAATAACATACAGAAAAGTAAATACTTTGCAAACTCTTTACCATTTTTTTAATAGTCCAGGCTGAGGTTTCTGTTAATTAATTTGGTTATCTGTCTTAACGAAATACCAAGCAATTAAAAACTGACATCTGTGGAAAAAAGATCGTCCATTCATAACAGCGTAAACCGAAAACACCATTCAAAAATAGATTTATACACAAACGAACCAATTTATTCTAATGCAATCTAAGAAAAAAATACTCTTTCAGTTCTTACTTGTTAGAGGGGATTTACTGACTAGTTTGCAGTGTTGCTTTACTAGACTAAATTGAACCATGAGGTGTTACAATGATTTAGTCCAGCACCCGGTACAATCTGACATGGACCCTGCCACTAGAGACAAGCTGCAGAAAACTCTCCTCAGTTAAAGGGCTTAGAATGATACACCCGACAACATTTTGAGTTCATTTCTCATTTAAAAAAAAAGACATCCAAGGTGGAATATGTTTTCACCTCGTAAACACCTTTGTGTACCTAGTTTTAAGGACAAGAGAAAGTGTATGTGTATCTAAAAATCTACATGTAACACTAATTAAGACAGTTTACAGCATTAAGACTCATCTGTGTAGCGTACGAGAATATCTGTTTAGACACTAATCAAGTCACAGAGTGTGATAATAAGAGCAGTTGGTCGTCGTTGTCTGATGAACTGACATGTTGGTACAGAAATGGTATTAAGACAACTGAAGACAACCTACAATAGAAAAAAAAATAGTTTCTTCAGCTCAAATTTGATTGTTTATTCACCTCAAAGTGGAGGCCATGTTTTTACAAGAATATATTGATGAATGAGTGCAAAGGTATAAAAAGATTGGGTTTCCCAGATTTTAGTGGAAAAAGGAAAGTTTTGTGTCTTCAACCACATTTCACTGCAATGATATTTCCCCCCTCTCCGTGCATGCTTCTTGCCAGCCAGCTTTCTGCCACCTGGCTGCTAAGCCCCCCCTGACTCTTTATTGGCTTTCCTAATGGTCGTGGAAGCCTGGCATGGGGAAGGGCCTGGCAAAAGCTTCAACGCGATGCCGCAGGTCGGCAATGCGAGCCACTGTCTCTGGGTCCTGAAGAAGGAAGTTCTTGAAGTCCTGAAGCTTCCCTGGGGAAGACAACGGAGAAGAGAAGGGGATGCTTTAACTTTCCTTATTCATGTTCCTTGTTTTTTGGGCTTTTTTTTAGCCTTTATTTTGACAGGACCGGTATAGAGATGAGAGTATAGACCTGGTGGATGACATGCACCAAACAGCATAAGGATCAGGACTTGAACCTGTGACCAGTGCGAAGGGGATTGAGCTCCACTGAGCTATACCGACAACCTGATTAGCTTGGTTTTTGTTTTCTCTCATGTTTCAGTATCTAACAATTTAACATTCCTACAATCCAATTATGTAACATACATCATGTTGTTTATTTTTTGTCTTTTATTTAATACACATTATTAAAGTACAGTTTAAAAATATTAAACAAAAAAGGTGAGGCACAACTTATTTTTATACCCATCTCCCTTCTTATAGTACCTGTCTTTTTCTTTACGTCCAAGGCGATCTTGAAGCCCTCATCCATGAACTCCACAACTTTCACAAAGTCACCTTCTTTGAACTGTCTGGAGGTCAGGGCAGGGGCACCTGGGACAGCAAGAAACAAAACAAAATGTAAACATGCAGTTTAGACGAACCAGGTGAGGAAATGTTTATATGAAAGTAGCTTATAGAAAGTCAATAAAGATTTAATATTGAGTAGTTTAGTATTGGAACATTAATCTGTCAGTAGCTGCTAGATGTTTACATCAACATTTTAATTTCCCACCCAGCTAATGACTGATAATTACCTGTTTTCATTTTTACAGGTCCAACTGTCTAATCATTTCTTTTTCCTATTAGGGGGCATATGGTCTTTGGAAGAAAAGAGAAAACGCACCCTGCAGCTTTTTGACATTTCAGTAATGAATCTACACAGCTGTGTCATAACTACATCAATGCTTATGGGTCACTAAGGTGTAGTTTAAATCTCACCATATTCATAAACAATTTAAAAGAAAATGAATGCAGTACTCGGTTGTGTAGATGAAGTAGTACCTTGCCTTAAGACAATGCTAAATGTGGCAGAGGAGATGTGGAGCTTGTGAACTTCCTGAGAGATGATTAAAAAGCCAAACAAGCTTAATTAATCATGATGTGCTGAGTGCTTGTGGCTTAACTAGTAGCTGACTAATTTCCATATGCAGAGCTACATTTGGAAAAGCTAGTAAAAACCAATTAAGTGAAGAGCATGTGGTGTTTTTTAATGTTCTGATCATGCTCGCAATAATTAGGACAAGACCTTGTCTCAGTCAGGTTATATGTCATGTAATTAGGGCTGAATGATATATTGTTTTACTATTGAAATAGCGACGTGCGCATGTGCAGTAGTCACATTGCAGGAGGTGTGATGCGAAGTATTCAACCACAGGACGTCATGCTGCCACTTCCCTGCTGTTTGATACAAACTGAAACCACCAGTTCACTCGTTTTTCACAACTTATACACAAATACTTATAACAATAAAAGTCTGACATCCCCTTCAGTGATCTCAGAGCTGACCGTTGTGTATGCAGTCTTTTTTTCTCCTGCATGTAGAGAGTAGACATAAAGAAGACGCTGCTGCTGTCACAGACACACAGGCATGACGCTTGAGGCAGACGCTCATTAACAGGATTTGAAATGTACCATATATCTACTTGTTAATGCTGTGGCCGTATTTATGGACCGTTAACAGAGCGGATGTGCAGCTGATTGTTTACTTTTAGCAGCTACACCTGAAGCACACACTGAAGTGTTTTGTGAGTCAGAGGCAGCACAAGATGGTGAGCTTTCATTCCATCAGAAGATCCAATCAGTGTGCTCGTCATGCAAACTAAACATGACTTTGAACATAGTTAAAATGGTTGATGACATACAAGTAACACAATAAAGTTTATGAAGAAACGTGTCGCTCCACATGTTGTCTCTACTTCACCATGTGTGCATCAGAGTCGCTTTCAGAGGGCTGCAACCAGTGTGTGAGCAGGAGGAGATTTAGATTGGAAATCAGAAAATGACTTCAATAAAAAGTTTGATTGTTTTACCTAAATTAAAAAAAAATAATATTTTTTATCTCCAAAATTGCAGAAACAAAAAATATTGCATTGTCAGTTTTTACTATGAATGTGTAGCCCAACATGAAATGTAAAGTTTCCTCACCCAGCCGGAGGCCACCAGGAGTCAGGGCACTCTTGTCCCCGGGGCAGGTGTTCTTATTGGCAGTGATAGACACGAGCTCCAGCACCCTCTCCGCACGAGCCCCGTCAATGCCCTTAGGCCGGAGGTCCACCAGGACCAGGTGGTTATCCGTCCCCCCTAAAAGATTCAGCATAAGTTTAACTTCTAAAGAAAAGGAAACGTCTTGGTATTTAGGCCCATACTTCAGTTTACAGCTTTTACTCAGACTCAACTTTTCAACATGATGAGGTCACCTTACTATATGTATGCAGTTACTGTAAGGGCCAATTAAGTGTCAGGCCTCTAATCCTTCCTATCTTCATCTTTCTAGTACATTTGTCCACGTTTATCAGAACAACAGCTTCATGTTACTCTGCGACACTTTTACATTCTTAATCACTTTATTTAAGGAGACAAAAGTACAATGTACTGATGTGGATTTAAACTGCAGGAAAACACGTTTAAGACACCATAAAAAGGCCAGAGCAAAAAACAGGCAGCATCATGCTTAAAACCATCGACCATAGGATTGTCTTTGGATAAGCATGTCATAAAACTCTTCTTCAAACATCCAGAAATATCCCTGTGAAACACTGACTTAACAAATGGAATTATTTGTTCTGATCAAACTGTGCTCATGTCTAGTTGCTTGACCCATTTAATCAGCTAGGGCAGCTTTTATAACAGAAAGACCTTTACAATTGCACCAAAAACTACATCCTCCCAAATCATTTCTATCAAATCCTCTTTGAGCAGATTCACTAAGTGAAAGTTGTAACCTTCATAGGTTTTAGCACAACTGTTGTGGAAGACTGCATTTGTTTATAAAAAAGACAATTTAGTGTAAATTACTTCTCTCAAAAGTTACATACTTGAGACCGTCAAATTTAATAGTATAATAATCCTAATTGATTAGATAGTACATAGAGTGTGAAAATACAATACAGCCACTTTCGTCTTTATTTATTTCTTTGAGACTGTCTATAACAGGATTGAAAAAAGAAAGCATGCACACTGTGCAGTGTAAGCACAGGAAAAGTTCATGTTTTTAGGGTATCAATTGAAGGCTATACATCATAAAAGAGCTGAGGCCAGAAAATGTAATGCAGTACAAGACTCAAACATCTGCTCACAACCAGAAAGTGACCACTTTAATCTTGTTTTTTTATTTTCTTGACTGACAGGACAGTCACACTGACATTAGGCTATTTGCACATCATGAATTTAAATGCTTTTCTGCTTTTATTCTGTTGCGCAATTTGCATTTTGTGACAGGACGTTTCTCTTCATTGACTGTGTGGCCGTGTGGTGTGATGTGTTTTTTTTTTTCCATTGTTTTTTTCCCCAGCCGTTTGCTGAGCCAGCATCTTACAGAGAATCAAAAGAAGATTGCTTAAATATAAGTTCGATTACCTGATACCAGGGTGTAGCCTTTGCTGAGGAGAGCTGTAGCCATGGATTTAGAGTTTTTAAGTACTTGGTTGATATATTCCTTGAACATGGGAGACTGGGCCTGGACATACAAACAAACGCATATTAAAGATAGAAAGGTTGAGTGATATAAATGTACTTAAGTCAGAGTACGTGTCTTAAAAAGTAATTATCAAGACACCATAGAACCACATATTTTTTATGTATTTGTCTAACTGAAGAGTCTGCATCCAGTGAGAAAGGTTTTTAATACTTTCAACTTATAACTTTAACAATTTCCTTGAAAGGAAAAACATTATTTGGTCCAGTGTTGACCGCTGATGGACAAAGTACAGTAAGAGTCACAGCAGATATTCTTCTTCTATTGTGCAGATGAGACATTTCATTCCATGCAACACAATGAGAAGTGTCCTACAGTATTTAGAATATTCCCCCAGAGAGCATACAGCAGCCTGTGCTAGAGCATCTCAGCAGTAAGATTCTGTTTCACTGTTAAATTTGATCACCTTATTTGGAAATCAAAAACCAGAGTAATAAAGTGTTACATCATTGCAAATACAATGTGTGTTGTGTACTGTCCTGACCTGTCTCAGTGCCACAGCCACACCGGCGATGGCGTGGTTATGAGGTCCACCCTGCAGGGAGGGGAAGACAGAGAAGTTGACCTTGTCCTCCAGGTCGTACATGACTTCCTTGCCCTTCTTGTCCACTGAACGAACACCTTTGCGGTAAAAGATGAGGCCAGCCCTGGACAGGAAAGAAATAATTGGCATACAAAGTTTTTATTGACCATTTTTATATAAAAACCCAGATAGATTCCAGTCTTGGTAATTGAGTTTTCCCCTCAAGTGTCCCCACAACACCACAAAATACAACTTCCACTTAAATATGACAAATAATTTCCATGACACTGAAAAGGTCTGTGATAAAGAGAATTTAAAATGCTTTGCCACGAGGATGCCTCTTAGGATGCTCTTCAGCGCAATACAGAAAAGTGAAGTGCTACTATTGAGACTGTATTAAAATCTCTCATGTTCTTACCTGGCTCCTCTCAGGGATTTGTGTGTGGTGGAGGTAACCAGGTCAGCATATTCAAAGGGAGAGGGGACAGCTTTTCCTGCCACCAGACCACTGATATGGGCCATATCAGCAAGCAAGTAGGCCTTAATGTCTGTGCAGAGCTAAGAGTAAAAACAGGACAGAATGAATATAAACAACATTTATAATTGTATTTATTTCCATTGGGGGAGAGCACTTGATGTAAAATTATATTAAACTTGAATTTGCTGTCGTATGGGTTTAAGATTGAAAATACTGACATCTCTCTGTGATATCTGTGAAATGAAGTGCAGTCATCGCTTATTATAGTGTGACATGTACTGGGAAAGATGTTTATGTGCTGTTTTCAGCTTAATTTGAATACTTAAATCCATGCAGGACAAACAGTGTAGGAATGATAGTCCTCTTCTTCTTTCAGGTCAAAGAGTTATTAGTTAAAGCTGGAATAAAAGTTTGATCAAGTGATTATAGATTTGTTTGCAAAACCAATGCACTCAAACTCATGTCATCAGTCTTCAGGATACTTGTTATGTACTTCTCACTTGTTTCAGTGAGTTACTGCCAACAGGTCAATTACCAATTAAGTGTTTTGTTAGGATGGGGTGGGGTCCTAAACAGCAAACTCAGTATGGATACACTCAAACTCCCATTAGACTGAAAGTCAAAATTGAGACATAGACTCAAGTTTAAGTGTTGTGTTGTGCAACCCAGGGAGAAGGTCTACACTGTCTAAAGACATCACCTTACTTTGTTTGCATACATGTACCCTCAATATAGAGAGTGTTCTTAATGTTAATATAAAGGCAATATGCATGTTTAACCTGCCACATCAGTGACCATACTGTGTAGTGTAATCTGTGCCACAGTGCTGTGAATATAAATAAATGTGAGATCAAATACCGGTAAGTGAGATATAATCTCTTGGTGCTCATATTAACATTTTCCCCTAGAGTTAAGATTTGATGAGTACCTCTACATTTGTTAGCAGTATCTTCACTTTCAGAGGTTAGATATTTCAGAACAGAGCTGTTGTTATTAAACTCTTAGACTGTCTACAGAGGCGTGTTACACTGCAGTGTAATTCAATAAATCCTCTGTTTCTAGCCAGCATTTATTGAAAAAGCACAAACAAAAAATAGCTTGCTAACATTCAAATGAGCTGCTGGCGAATGATCAGAGCAGTAAGCAATCTTTTTAGTGCTCCAATTAATATGCATTATCATGACAATACCCCTTCCTCTCATATCTAAACTGGATCAGCACATGTTTATTAGATTAAAAGCCAGGATAGATGGCAGGGTTACTGGAGGGAGTAAAGAACACAACAGGGTGATCTGCGCTAGCTGATGAACAGCGATAGTGAAACAGATTTCAGATAGAAAAAAAGAAACATGCTCCAATCTAGGTAACATAACAGTGAAATTCTGAAGAGGAGCCTGGGCCAGCAGATTTTGCCATAAAACAGTGAACAGTTCTGTAGAGACATGCCAGGGGGAAAAGATGGCCCCACTTCAGGCCTAGTGGCTAAGTAGTTATGGTGCTTAATAAAATCACAGCTCTGTAATGGTGGGACACTCCATCTGATGGTGTAAGCTAAAGTGGAGCTCTGCAACAAAGGGAGGCAGTCATGGAGTGAATGAAGTGAACCAGCGGGTGGGTATAACAAAACAGAAAAAGGGGCCTCTTGTGCACTGTCAAAGAGAGCAGTGAAGTGTTCTGTTAAAAGTTGCTGCTGTGTACTAGTGAGTCAGTATGTTTAGTTTGTTTGAGTGGACAAGGGAGGAAGAAAGCATCTGTGTCATTGAGTGCAAGTGTGAAAGACCCTAGAAAACCAGTTTGAGTTGGAAACGCTTAAGTTCAAAAGGGAATGTTGGGTATTTAAAGCAAAAAGATCTCCGACAGGGGAAAAAAAAAATCAGATCTGGTCAGGAGTGATCCTGGCTAGGTCTTACTTATCACCAAGGGAAACAGGTGCGTGTGACAGTTCAATGGAAAAGGTTGAACAAGTTTTGAATTAGAGAAGGAAAGTGTTCTGACCTTCCTAATGCATGAGCAGAAAACAAACAGGTAGCAGGAGAGGAAGAGTGAAACACACACACACACACAGACAGAAAGAGAGATGGGATGAAAGCTCAGTGAGTTGTGAACACAGAGAGTTTTTCATGCACCTTCTTGATGCGGGCGTAGTCAATGAGGCGGGCATAGGCGCTGGTGCCAGCGATGATGAGCTTGGGTCGGAACAGCTTGGCCGTCATTTCCATCTGGTCGTAGTCTATGAGTCCTGTTGCGGTCTGCAAGGAGACGGAGAGGGAGACAAATTGAACAGAGTAGAAAGAGGTAGAGGAGGAGGAGGAGGAGGAGGAGGAGGAGAAAAGTGGAGAATGAATAAATGAGAATATAAGAGGGAGAGTCAGGGTCAGGGGGAGGGGAACAAGGAACATGAAAGAATGAAAAAAAAGTTGTTAGATATCTTGAGGATCAAGAGCAAACATATCAACACGGAAGAGAGATGTTTTTCCATTTGAAAATCATTTGATGCCACTGCATTTGAGGTACTCCAGCTACCTTAAAAGGAGAAGGAATTTATCTAAGAGAGGTGTTTGAACATATAATCTCAAGGAAGAAGATTGAGAAATTGCACTAATGCACCCTACTTATCCTAATTCAACCTTTCTGAGATCTACTCAACTGGTGAAGAGGCTCAACAGATGAGAGGTTAGTGTCAAGACTTTCCTGCTCTTTACAATGAGATGAGCCATTTCATAAACATGTTGAACAATCCATTGGGTAGGGGGGGGATGTACTTCAGAGACATGGGAAATGGAGTCGGGAAATGGAGTCAGACTGGGCCTGCAAAATGACCAGTGTGTTTTTGAGCCTGATTCTCCATGTTTAGCTTTCTACTCCTCCTGCAAGCATCAGAGGGGCGAAACAACAGGGGGAGGAGAAAGAGAGTAGGATAGAGCAGAATAACAAAGTGAGGGACGGAAAGGATGGGAGAATAAGCAGGAGACATTGAGGAAAAAGGAGAGAAGAAAGGAGGATGGAGAGCTTTATTTAGACAACCTGATAATCTCCCATCTCCAGAGCACATCTATGGATGCCCCCTCACTCCATCAAGCTGCTCATTGTGAAGACAGAGCCAGTGGTGCTGGCCAGCCTGTCGATTTCCCATTATCTCTCTCGCAGAGGGGTCCTGCCTGCCCATACATCAGCAGGTCTGGACATGCAGACGCTCATGGCTATCCATCAGCCGCTTCCAAAAGTACCACATGACTATGACCCCAGAAATGAAATACTGCACACCAAAAACTGATGCACTGATTATATCTACATGCTAACTTAAATACATGCTTGTTGAATCTGAGTGAGGGGCCCGTGTAGCACATATCTCAATTCTGGTGGAAAACATTTTATGGGTTATACTTTGCTAATTTTACTGTATGGTTGCATTGAGAGTAACAAGGTCCCTCTCTTTTTTGAGTTGCAAACTGAATCCCTAACCACAAACACTTTGTCATCCTTTGGGGTTTCACAATAGAAAACAGGATTTCTCACAATGCCTCAGATATTCTTTTTCATTTCATTAAAAATTATAACATCAGATTTATAGTGTGATATATATATGTTTATGTTAATGTCATGCACCATGTTATGGCCTGTTCAAATGGGATTACTGAACTGTAATTAAACAGTTTTTAAGTACAGATTCATTGATATAAATTACAGTTATAAAAACTCAGCGTATAAAAATGTCCAGTGTGTTTCTACACCAATTCTTCACTGACAGGATTATAAATAAATTCATTTATTGTACAGAGCGATACATTTTTGGCCCTGTGGTACAGCTACAAACTAGTATTCATATTTTTATTTTATTGACTTTTAAAGTAAATTCAGTTTAAAAGGGAGGTACAAAATGCTCTGTAAAAAAATGCTGTACAATATGTAAATATTGTCTTTAGATAATGGCAGGATTTCTTTACAGTTTTGGAGTGGAACGCAATTCTTTGTATCAGACATATGGAGACTGCAGACCTTACACACCAGCATTGCAACTGAACTGGTCCATGTGGTTATCAGTTTTAGATATCAACTTTGTGAGAAACTTATGTACATCTCTGAACATGTTATTATTGGAGTCCTTTCATCTGACATTGCAATATCACATCATAGATACCATATTTTAGATATTTGTAAGTATGACTACACTTCCATCTGCTTAACTGTTTTTTTTTTTTTATAACAATACATGTTCTAACATCTGTTGTCCCATTTCCACAGATTTTACTGTTGAAACTGCTTCTCACCATGACACAAAAAGCTAGCACTAGCAGGAGAGGACAGTCCATAACTTGTTAGTTGATATCAGATGCTCTCTACTTACATTTAGTTTGTAGGGCATGGACTCAAAATAGATTGAGGTCGCTGAGATCCTCTTCACATCAGACATGTAGCCATGGGTCAGACTGAGGTGACAAAAAGCAAAATATAAACAGACTTAAAAACAGCCTTTTCAGTTAAAGAAATGTGCAGGAAAAACTCATCACACGAGTGTTGACCGATATGTAACTGGGTTGGCTTGAAAAAGTGTTAGTAGAAGAGAAGATAAGTGACAGGTTGAGGAATAAGAATAGAAAGAAAGCAGCAGTGATTACTGACTGTCCTCCATCGGGCAGGTCCAGGCCCATGATGCGGTCGTGGGGGTTCAGCACAGCGGTGTAGACGGCAAAGTTAGCGGGGGAACCAGAGTACGGCTGGACATTGACTCCCCACAGAGCAGGGTCCAGGTCGAAGGCCTCAAGGGCTCGCTTCTGACACAGGAGCTCGATTTGGTCGACCACTTCGGCTCCACCATAGTATCTGAGGGCAGGGGTAAGAGAAACACAGCATAAGGTAATTTGCTAGAAGACACAAAACTACTGCAAATAACACAGAAGACAGTAAAATGTCAGTCACCAGAGTTGGAGCTGAGTGACATTTTAACACCTCTGAAATTGGGAACAATTTTGTTTGCAAATAGTTGCTTTGTCAATGTTCAGCAGTTAGAGAAAAAATATGTTCATTTGGAGTTCTGTCTGTTTACTCTTAAATACTTAATTTTCTTCACCATCAAACCCCTAAGGAAAATAGTTGACTGTTTGGTTGCTAAATGTTCTGCTATGTTCACAAGCTGTGGGTTTTTGATGGAAACATATACCAGCTGTGGCTGAAAATGAAACAGGATTAAGAGTGAGCCAAATCCATAAAAAGTCATTTAAAAGTAATTTAAAGTGACTACTTACATGTTGTCACATTCTCATTTGACACATTTTTTATTCTAAAACTTTAAGTTATAGCTGCTTTACAATAATTTAATATCAGCATTGCATTTATAAATCATAGCTATGCAACAAAGAGCCCTGTTGATCAAAAAATGAAGAGTAATCAAGACAAATGTGAACTGGAAACTACCGCAGCAGGTCTGGGACATCTCAGGTGAAAACGCTCAACAAACCTTTTCAGCGTAATTACAGATGAAGGAGCAACAGATGGCCTCTGAACAAACCACTCATTGAATGAGATCACCCTTTTGTTTCATTACATTAAAGTGTAAAACAGCTGATGAGTAGGATGAAGGGGGGGGGGAATAGCACATTCAGTTGGAGGGAGATTTATAGTAGGCTTGTATTCCAGGAATCAAAAGGATCAAATGAGAAACATGTAAAACATGTCAGCTCTGTTCGCTGCAGATAACTGTGAATTATCCAAGGGAAATAACAGAAATAGGGAAACTGAACACAGTAAATGTTCAACTGTTAGCCTTTGCACTAAATTCTTCCAGTGTTTCTCCTCAGGCAACTTCTTCTGAAAGGCAGAGCTGTGTGATTGTTTGCCGTGCGGTTGGCATCTACTATCAGAGGGCAGACAGGATAACGCCAGACAAATCTTTGAGTGTCTACAGTATGTGTGCATCTGTGTAACAAATATCCTACAGCAGTGAATATCAGCAGAGTTAATAAGCTGGGTGGGACTGAATAAACACCCTCACCTTCTCCCTGGGTAGCCTTCAGAGTATTTGTTGTTTAGACAGGAACCCTGAGCCTCCAGAGCTGCTCGACTGCAGAAATTCTGTGGTGAGAACACACACACACACACACACACACACACACACACACACACAGACACACACACACACACACACAGACACACACACACAAACACACACACACCCTTGGATCAATGGCTCGAGTGGACAGAAGGGACAAGGACCGCAAATTAAAGTCTGTTAAGTGATAGTGAGAAATCCCCCCCTCCAGCTAAAGGCAATCATTACAGTATTGAACCTCTGGACTTCCATAGACTAACACTCTGCACTTCACAATGCTGATTGCCTCACTGCTGGAAGATACAAGATAATGCAAGAAACTTTTCTGCACATCCTTGGAAAAATAGGTGTGGCTTTTTTTTGTTTGCAAAACATTTTTGGAAGTAAACTTTGCTGCAAAATTGTACTTTTATCCCCCAAAGTTCTCTTTCTTGTCATGTATGTGGCCTTTTTTCTCCTAATGAATTACAATCCTACTCTGGGATTTCTACTACAGTTGCCTCAACTGCATGAATAATCAGTGAGTTTATCAATCTTTTTTTATCAAGCCTACAAATAAACTCTGCTTGACTACTAGTACATAACTACTATTACTCAAACTGAGAAACTGACAACACTCATAAGGAAGTTTATCACAATGATGATCCAGTAATAAGGTTGGACAGAAAAACCCCACAGTTCTCCACTCTCTTCTTTAGTGGTGTGTGTGTGTGTGTGTGTGTGTGTGTGTGTGTGTGTGTGTGTGTGTGTGTGTAGTGTCTGTGCTTATGCTAATGATTCACCTAGAAGCCAAAAAGAGATCAAAAATAACAGCTCTCTGCTGCGTATGTCATGCAGAAGATTAGTGAATATAGTAGAAAATGAAATGTATTTACGTCTCATGGTCTTTAAGTGAGAGGAGCAGCGTTTGTATGTTTGTTGAATTATGTAGAAAACATGTTTATCATTCAAGGAATGCCTCCCTAAGCTGTAGAGTGATGTGCCTTGCTGAGAGTACGGTGGGGAGGAGGCAGGATGAAGATATCAGCTTTATCTCGCACTAGAGCGGTCAGGCTTTGTGTAGAGAGGGGGCCGATATACTCCACTGAACAACTACTGTGGTGAAGAAAAACAGGAGAGGACAGAAAGAGCAGAACAAGATAAAACCCTGTCTGCTCTTTTGGATAGTGAAGATTTTTTGAAGGAGGAGAAACAAATGAGAAGATGCACAATATCAGGTTCAAAATAAAGAGATGACACACTATTTTAACCCTTTTTTTTCTTTAAACACATGAATTGATATATAGTATTTTATTTGAATGAAAGTGACAAAATGCAAAACAAAGCAGGTCCGTTTTGAAATGTTTTAGCTACTAATCATCTTGTAATGAATGTCATCGTTACATATTTTTCTATCTTGTTTGTTTCTGTCACAGTTTATTGTTTCCTCTGGGTACCCAAAATGCTGCCACTAGTGGTACATGCATTGGATCACAAATCTCATGGTTTGGATTGGATCCGGGGGTTTTTTCGGGATCGGCAAAAAAAAAAAAAAAAAGAAGCTAGTTATAATTTACCTTTTCTACTCCTTAGCTATCCATGACTCAAATTGTGAATTTTAACAGCACTTTAAAATGCATTTTGATAAAGTGACACATCCTCCTTTTCTTCACTATATACTCATTGTTACAATTCAGTTCGAAAAAGCTGAACTCTTTTTTATTTAAATGCTATATATGTGCTATGTATATTTGTGTATGCTGATGTAAGCCTAGCGTTTAATCGTATTTGTGTCATTGAGCTGGTATTTACAATATCTCTATTATTATGAGTTTAAAACTTAAATGGTAAGTGGACATTTTTTGCTTCACCCTCCATCAGGGACATCAACTTAAACACAAAAGAAAAATATTTCTGTGAATAACGTTATCTGTAACCTACAGAAGTCTTTGTTGTCTTTTTTTGAGACCTTTTTTTCCTGTATGAGCTTTGACAGGGTTGAACACATAACATACACACACCATTCACTTAGTGGATGTGTGAGTATAACATAACAAACTGGGAGCATTAGTTAGGAACTATATCTTTAGTTTTTGGAGCAAAAAGTTTACAGCTTACAAGATGCAGTTAACAGCAGCAGTGTAAAACACACTGTAACATTACTAACATTTAGTTTTTGATTGGTGTTACATGACACAGCTACAAGATAGCTGCATGATGAATACAGACCAGATGTGTCTTAGTGCATGTATAGGCCATGAAGATGTACATATAAAATGCTGGATTCTTTTCACTGGGACTCTGCACAGGGTTTTAGCAGCAGTACATCTTTTTAAACCATAGTGATACCTTACATTTTCTACCAATCCTCCTCACGTTCCACCGGACAGTGACAGGTTATACAAACGGACCACAGATCAGCTGTGATCTTCTTAAAAGAGGCGAGGGCATCTCTCATGGTCTAGGTAGTGCTACATCTAAACAAGAAATATTGTCATGTTTTAATATCACAAGAGACACCCCTAGTAAACACTGAACTGTTATTGCTTACAGAAACTATATCCTGCTGTGACCATTTTAATAATTAAAAGCCAAGTGTGAATCACTTTGTATAAATTTGCTCTTCAAAATTACAACACTTGTCAGAGTTCATATCTCTTTCAACATTTGTATGTTGAAGCCAGAAAGTCCGGTATCTTGGCCTAGCAGAAAGGTAACATAAAACACATCAAATGTGCTGCTATACAATGCAACATGCATAGCAAACATGCAACAGCAGGATGATTTAGGAAAGAAATAAGTAGTTAATAAATCCATATTTTCAGGTTATGAATTTAGAATGCAAACCTTTAATCACTTGTTGTAATGCTTGCTGTACATTGTGTCTTTATCTACACAGGGGGGCCCTGATCAACTCTTCTAATACCTTTTCTGTCAATGCTAGTAGCAGTAAAAATAAAAAACAAAAAACATAGAAAAGAATCCATGAAGCAAGCAGGTCTATTCATTCTTCCAATTTGTCAGAAGACTAATCAGAGGTGATGAGGCATTCTTATCTCCCTGCACTGCCAACATACAGGGGACATGCTGCCAGCTCCTCCAGGCATTGAGTAAGTGTTTCAACTGGCTTTCTTTAGAAATGAGTCAAAAGGCGTGAAATATATAACTGTACTGAAGATGACAATGATTTTCTTTTTCCATCACAATACCTTAAGAATGAAAAGTCTTCTTCCCGTTACTTCAAAGTAACAGCCAGCACGTCTCAATGCATCAGGATGTTAAAGTTTGTTTTCTAAATAATCATGGACTATTAACTAAAAACATCTTGAGTTTATTTTTCTCTTTCACTGAGCTGTGCACAAAAGCTATCCTGGCATTTCAGATAAGTTTATCACTGGACTTAAGAGCTGAAGGTGATAAACTGTTAAGTAGACATGAAATAGGCTACAGTGTTCAGCCATATAACATGAATTGTGATCAACTTTGACAGTTTATTTGGGTGCTTTCTTCCCTTAGACCTCTATTTTTATATTTAACGTTTCAATGAACACCCTTACTAGGCCAATGAGTGACCAGGGAGTGTTCAATAAAAAAGCCACATCGTAAAACACAAAGTCAAAAAATAAAAAAACATCTTTTGTATCTGTGAAATATGTTTTACCTCTGAAGCAATGAGCTCCAATCCACGGCACTGCCTGTCCTTCTCCTTTAGCAGCAGATCCCACATCTCAGGGTCGTCCTGAGCCAGACTCTCTTGGCCTGTCCATGGTCGATCTTCATCCACTGCACGGGTAGCAGCATGGGACTGCTGTCCACGTACACTGAGACGAACTGGGGCTCGCTGGCACAATGGCTGTGGGCAGAAGAGAAGTGGCAAAGATGATGAGACATCGTGAGAAAATGGTTCACTTCAACACAACGTCACTGCAGAAAACTCTGTCAGAGGTTGTGGAGATAGTTAGGGGAGTGAAAGGCAGGGAAACTATCGATAGACAATATATGGCCCACGATAAAAATAACATCACGATACAACAAATATTTAATCAATTATATATTGCAAGACAATTATATACGCAATACCATGATAATTGTTTAACAGAAGAATATTAAATGCCAGTTAAACGTAAAGTGAAGGTAATAATTTACTACTAAATGGAGTCAATTTCACCTCTTACTGTGCTTCTTCTCCTACCTCTGATATTATTCTGCCAATGTTATCCCATTGTTTTCTTTTCCTTATCTTTGGCCGATTAACTTCAGTTCACATTACCCTTATTCAAGTCATAAGCACCACCATGAGGAGTTATGAAGTAATGAGATGGTGAGTCAAACTGCCAGTGAAAACTTTAGTTTTGTTTCTAAAATCATAATTAAAATATTGATATTTGGCACAAGCAATTTGATAATTGTATCACACCAGTTAGGGCCTTACAGACATTTTTTCCACCCCTAATTTTTATTACTACCAAGTTTTAGCAATGTAATCAAAACTGCAACATCACGCATCAAATAACAATACAGAGAGTGTCAAGTTGTGTGGCAGCTAAATCAATATTTTCTTTCTATGAGGTTGTATAAAGGGGGGCTAACTTTAAGCACATGTATCATTTTTTGAGTTAAAAAATGTCAGTACTGTAGAGAAAGAAACAAACATATCTTCATAATGTATTTGATTATTTTACATATTTGTGGCAGCACTCAGAAGATTTCTCCTATATAAATTAGGAGACATTGCAGGGCTCTTTCTACAGTCCAAGGGTTAGCCTGGTATAATTAAAAACTGGCGTGTTTGCATGATATCAATAATCAGCATGGTTGTTCAAAAATGCGTCAATCAGCACTTCTACAAACTGAGGGACTGACTTTTACAGCCTCAGTGTACCAAAGGAGGCATGTAGAGAAACGATTCAGCACTTCCTGCTTATCTAATCTGGACTGGAGCTGGCGAGGTCTCCTGCTGCAATGCCTGATCATGTGAGTGTATGGAGTCTACACAATTTTCTGTCTTTTTTTTTTCTAGTTTAAACAAGTATCCTATAGCTCAGCCAACTGGGTTTTTTCCAAGTCAATGGTTCTCGAAAAATGTTTGGAATAATTTACCAACTTTGAGATAAATATTTCAATCAATCAAATACACACTGAGCAGTACAAAATCTTTCAGGCAAAAAAAACGGTTATATAAAAAAAATACAAGAGTTGTGCAGTCAGTATCTGATTTACTTAACAACAATCTTGTAACTTCTCTAGAAAATTGAATTTTTAGCATTATTTATTGCTTATCTGTCATGAATCAATTGTAATGGCTTACTAGCTTCAATCACTCACTACTCTTTGCTTGCACTTTGGATGTTGATATGTGATGTGTGTGGTTTGTTTTTGTGCTGTGCAGTAATACATGTGAGCTGTGTGCGAACTGATGCTTTTTAACATAACTTAAGTTCCTAACGGATAAATAAAGTTATGTGAATTGAATAAAGCACAAAGCCTAGGGGGATTTCATACAACTATTCAAATGTCTGTATTTTATAGGCATTTTAACTTTGTTTTTGTAAAAAGTTTCACAAATAAGAATGATTGTTTTTGATTCGTCTGATATTCTGTTGGCTTGGGGCAGAGGTGAATAATTTAGCAGACAAACATGTCCTTGTACATGATAGTGATTGTTGCGTCAGTTGAATGATAACAGCAGTAAACGAATGCACTGAAAAGGGAATATTACATTTAAAATATGGTTTATCAAACATATATTTTGTATTCAGAGTTTTATAGTGTTACTGTTGTAGTTATCATATTGTTGTATACGTGACAGATTATTTTACCACCAAAATTATTGTTTAGCTGTGCAAACAAAACATGATTTGAGATTATAATATATATAAACACTTGTCATCAAACGACTTCCTTGTATTTGAGCACTATGTTGGATAACACTGAGGTAAAAAAATAAAATAAAAAATCCTTTACAGGTTGATTACACTCATAACAAATGTGGTCTCTCCCATCATTTAATCAACAATATGATGATGACTCTGTGTTGAGATCAATCCCACCACTGCCTACCTATAGTTATCATTTGTACAGGTGTGCTGGGGTGTGAGGGACAACCTCCCTTTTAATAGCATCATTAAAAAGCAATTAACACAATACTTAGAACTGGTTGAGGACACCCACATGAAATAAATGCAATTTACGCCATCTCCATGTGGTGTAGAAAAGATTTTGGCTCTTAATCTTTTGTTGTATATTTATTGCACTGTAAATCTAGCAACAATACCAACTCTGTACTTTTTGACACATTGTAAGACAAACTTTAAACGATTTTAACAATGGACGTAAATACCAGTAATAAAAACGGTTCAACTGGGGAATCTTCTTAACAATGCCAAAATAGTCTTAAAATGCAACATCCATAGTAAAAAAAAACTAAATGACAGTTAAAGAGAAGTCTATATCCTGGGGAAACAGCCTACAGATAGTTTATCTACTCCATCGTTGGCCCACCCTCTCTACTCCGCCTCTTCATCTGCTCCCTGGGGTGGCAAGAGGGGACAGGGGTGCATACTAGGGGAGGCGTTTGGCACATTAATAACGGATTTCTAACAGACTCTACTCTGACCCTCTGTCACCGATGGCAGTGGAGATTGTGGAAAAGAGGATAGGGCCCCCCCTCTGGGTTCTGGAGGAGATGAAGGCCTGGGGAGACAGGTTGGGCTGCCTCTGAGGACACGTTTCACGCAGAGAAATCACACGGGTCATTAAATCTTGACGGGAACTGTCCTTTGCTGTCTGCAATTCTGCTGGGACACACCAGTGCCAGGGAAAGCAGTGGCAGAAGAACCACCACAAGCCAAGACTGCTGTGGTTATAGCGCTACTGACGACTCCAAAACAGACAAGGGTGCCTATTCCCCCTCCTCTTGCTCCTCCTTCTCTTCCTCACCTTCACCTTTATCCTTGCTTTCCTTTTTCCATCCTCATCCTGTCACAGTCATGTCAACCTTTGTGACATAATGGCTAACATGCTCAGAATAGTAGCACACAAGTCTCATTTTATTAGTCTGTATGTTATGGACAATATCATTACCATGTTGTCCAAACAAGGACATCACAGGCTTAACATAAAATTCACAGGTGGGTCCCTGTGGTCCCCTGCTCCGCTTTCCTGCCTCATTTGTCAGCATTGATCATTAAGGGAGATTAATTAATAAACACAAGGTAAACTGATCCAAGAAAGTTAGAGCCAAGATACAAGCACCAAATATGTCACAGCAGGACTATTTTTAGGCGACAGATGACGCTGTTGTTTGAAGGTGAACTTGATGAAAACCCTGCTGTGAGAAAAAGGGGCGGATGGGCCACATCAACACGCGCACAAAATAATGGCAGAGTCACAGATGCACTGGATCTGCGTGACAATGATAAGGTAAATGTTGGCAGTTTACCTTTCCCGTCAAACATCTGTGTCCAAAGACCAAGAGCACAGAAGAACAAAGGGGAAGAAAAAAAATCATTTCATTAATCCTTGTTCTGTATTATTTTTGCCCATTTCCTGCAGCAGCTCCTGAGGCGAGTCAATTTTACAGATGACTGCTGTCCATCAGTAGCTGTACCAAACAACAATCAACCCAGTAACAGAAGAAAACAGAGGGGACTAAGAAGAGGTACTGCAGAAAAAACAGATACATAAGGTTAGAGAGAAGAAGTGTCAACAGGGCAGTAGCATCCTTCAGTCTGACACACAGTTGCCTCTTTCCCTGTCACTGACTAATAGCAGGGCTGTCCGTTACAAATTGCCCTGTGATTCTGTCTGGATAACACTAGACTGAGAAATCTGGATGGGGTGAAGAGGCGTGAAGGGACGGATGGAAGCAGAGTCCAGAGCAACTCCACTGTATTCGGGTCAAAGGGTTGTCAGAGTGACAATCATAGACTTAAGCAATGACTGCAACAAAGCCCATCTTCAAGAGGTGTAGGCAGTGGAATGATACATTTATGTTGAAATCTTTCCACACCAGCGCTTGTGATCAAGATGGTGATAGTGAAAAAAGTCTAAGCTGGACTTTCTGATGCCACAAGGCATCCATGTGCAAGCTATGTGGACTGGGTCTGAGTATTGGTAATGACCTCACGATAGTGGTGGGCGATATAACGATGTTGATCGTGAAGGATTTTAACGTGCTGACGATCTGCCAAAGCAGAGAGATCGTAGAACCGGGCTAATGTGTTTATTCTATCATGCTGCAGTTTATGCTCCGACACAGACTCGTCTCGCCCCCTCCTTTTTTGCTCCGCAGCGGTGAAAACGAAACTTAAAAGTAAAGTCCGCAAAAACAACTCCATCCCGGTTATTTGCAACTGTTCTGATATTTTTTCAAACTAACACACCGTGAGCAACAGTTAACTTATCTGCATAGTTTGCACAGTTAAGTTTACATATCAGATAGCGACACAAGAAAACAATTAACGAGCTGGAGAGACGTTCACAGTCTGCAGAGAGTCAGACAGAGCGGAGCTCAGACAGTCAGTGATGAGAGATATAACCCCGGTGTTTAAAATGTTGCTGTCTGTGTTTTCTGCTCTGTCTCGGTTTCTGAAAGTTACTATCAAGCTTCTCCACCCGAAGCTCACCTGTGGGTGAATCCCTGAATTTATAGGGATTATGCTAAACGACGTTACATGTTGTCCCGCCCCCTCTATGAATTAAACTGCTCTGTCAGTAAAACTTACTTTAATCATGTGTCACAGAATGAACACATTCTGTATTATGTTTGATTATATATAAACTAAACTAAAGTTAGTCCAATGATGTCATAAAAAACAACAAAGGCTGCAGAGCCGATATGAAGCTATAGCTGTAGGAATTCTGCAGGGCTAAATAGAACAGAAACACAAGAACTCAAAGTCTCGTAGCCCTAACCCATGTTTTTAAATGAATGCATCACTGTGTGAAAATGTTCCTGATGTACACAAAAAGAGGAAAACCTTCAAATTGTGCATAAATATTGATCAAATAGAGGGAAAGACATTTCTGGTGCTAAAGATGTTCTGGGTGAGAGACCTCCAGACCTCCTACAAAGATGTTTTTCAAATAGATTAAACTTGTCTGCACAGTTTTTGTGCATTTAAAAACATTATACAGGGAAATTAGTTTGGTTGAACTGGACAGTAACTTACAAATTTGTCTAAAGATCAGTATGAAAAACATTGTGATAAAATCATGATCGTGATTGTGCAAAAAAAAAAATCGTGATATGATACTTTTCCCATATCGCCCACCTCTACCTCACGATATAGGTAGGTACCACAATTCATGGGTTAGGATAAATGCTTTGCAATACTTTAAAAGTGGTGATGAGAACAAAAGTGGTGCTGAGAACAAAGCTTTGCTGCGTTAATGAGATTTTTCAATTTATTAGAACATGAGGGTTTTTAAACTTCAAAATGAAACTAGTATAGGTAAACGATATTTGGTTACCCCAGCCACAAAAACATAAGCCCTGCTTTTTTGGCAGTTATGTGTATGTGCATTCCGGTGTTCCTGCAGCCATCCTCAAACGGACACTCAAGGAACTGCAGGATTTTGCACTTCTCCATTGGGTTAGGGTAACCCAATGGTAACCCAAGACCGGAGGTTGTTGGTTGTTGTTGTTCACACATGCATCTCATAGTTTGAGACTATCCCTGTTGGGCAAGATGGGGTTTGAGGGGTCTCCTGAGGCAAGAAATTACTGAAAAAGAACCATGTGAAAGTGGCTGACAAAGCAATAGAGTCCACTATACAATGTTATAATTAGAATATTTAGCTTTATATCAAATGGTACGTGTAGTTTGACAGAATCCCAACATCAAAAAAGGGAAGATCATACTGTAGAACAAAAACGTAATGAATCATCCTCATAACATGCAGAGAGATTGCAGGTCATGCACCGATTGCATGGGATGAATGTCAACACCTCCTCCAACCCGCTAGAGGGGAATTTTCCTGATTTCAACCTGCTGCTTTCTCCTATCAGCTAATTTAGACTTTCTGAGGAAAAAGTACAAGGGGGCTGGCAGGAGAAACTCCATATAAAGTCAGAGTGAAAAATTTTGTTGTTTGCGTTCAAGCATGCAGCTCACTCCAAAAACTTCAGGAGTTTTTCAGGAGTTTTGTGCAAGTGTGAACAAGGCTTCGCTCATACAGGTCCTGTGCAGTCACAGCATGGCTTAACCCAAAGAAAGATGGAGTCATGTGAGTTGCTTAATAGGTCAATGAAGATGCACACTTACACAATTACCCGATTAGAACCAATTGGAACCACATGCATGCATGTGAACCAGTCCGTACAGTATTAAAGTTCAAACAAACCGACAGTGACTTCTAAAACTAGGTCTGAATACATGCCACACAATTTTGGCACATACTTGCAATAGCCTAGTTGTTTCTGAACTACTGCATGAAAGTCACATCATCTTAAAAGTGGGTCACTTCATTAAGTTCAAAATTAGTCTATTAATATCCTTCAATCATGTTTTTTTCTCCCCCACACCTCCATCACTCTGATGTCTCTTCTATTTGAACAACATGTTTGATAAAAGACTGTCAAATTATAAAACTTTAAGTGAACTAACTCGTCAATTAGATCACTGGCTGACCAATTTGTCTCAAAAACGTGAATCAAGAGAGCTTCAGTTACTACAGAAAAATCAGGAAATTAAAATTCCCTGTGAAATGTGAGGTTGTTACTTACAGTGATGTTCCTCATTTATATATATTTTTCCATTATTAAATAAGTTTTTTTTTTAACACTTTTAGTGACTCTTTTAATTTGACAATCAATGTTGTGTACTAATGATTAACAAACCTACTATGGACGACATAAGTGTTATGTTACCCTAATTTTGTTTGAAGTTGTATACAGATGAGTTAATTATGTTCATTGTGGTCACTGCTAATTGTAATACAATTAGTATGTTTTACACTAAAAATTGTTTTAAAAAAAATTACATTTAAGCTTTACCATTTGTTTAAGGCAAGCTTATTTATAACGCACATTTCAGCAACAAGAAAATTCTGCTTAAAATGTGTGCTGCTTAACATTTGTTTAAATGAAGTGTACCTCATAAACTGAGTAGTAAGTGTGCATGTATGACATTTGATGACTATCTAGTTTAGTACAACATAAAGATAGGATTAGAATCATATCAGGACAGTAACATTTGCCCATACAGCTCTCCCAGAGTAATAAATAATCCAACTTTCAACTGTCTGCTATACACACTTAGATGTTACATTGTTATCTCAAATCAAGAGGTTAATATTTGCTTGGACCTTCAGCCTCATTTTGTACTTTGAACGTTATTGGGGGCTGGACCCCTACCTAGTACATAAATCATTGTATAATACTTTTGTTGACTTTTAACTTGACTTTTACCCCTGTGTGTTCAAAACAATGAGTGTAGTGCCGAATAACTATAAAATAGTTTAACAAAATTACAAACATTTATTTCATCATACTGTATTCATATAAAGTAGAGATTTAGCTGAATAGGGGTGGATAGAGGAGCATGTTGACTCGTGTTATTTCCTGCACTCCTCCACATGATGAAACTGAGCAGTCGCTGTTGCATCATTACGTGGACACAGGAGCAGCCATGTAACATTGGCAGCTAGCCAGCTAGCTTATCAGCTAACAAACAGACATTAGGATTTCAAAATACATTATAGACAGGACAGAAAATCCCATAAACTGAGAAATAAACTCTTATTAAGTGAAAACTGCACATTTTACGAAAGCCGAGGGCAACTTTAATTTCCCACGCGACTATACATTGGTTGTGGGCAACACTGGCGTTAAGCTAGCTCACAGTTCCCCCTGTACAATAAACGCCAGGTAAATCACGCAAATCATGACAGAATATGTGACACAAAAACTGCGCTTTATCATAAACTTACCCGTGTGAGTTGTCTGAAAGCGAAGGAAAGCATGTTTCCAGTTGTCAGGCCAGAGGGAGAAGCAGCACAGCCAGGCGACACACACTGCTGCCAGGCTCCGAAAAGGCTGTTTGAAGTTGATGGAAACGGCTGGTTACGTGAAACCCACCGCAAGGGTTGATGGGAATTGTAGTCAGATGTGAGGAATGTTCGCAAGCCGCTGATTCCCAAATTACATTACAACTTTATTAGTAAATCAATAACTCGTGCTCCCAGGGTAACTGAATCTATTACAGACTACAGTGAGTGAAAGCAGCCTTCACTTCTGCTTCACTTTTAGAATATGACAAGTCACATTCATACAATGAAAACATGGACGTAAGAAGGCCTATAAGACAGAACATATATTTAATGCATTTAAAGAAAATTAATTAAATTCTGAAGAAAAGTCACTTTTACATTCTTATTTATTAATGGTTGTATATGTGCTTAAATTTAAGAGATTTATTTTTCTCTTTTAGTTGTACTACTAAACAATTGCTTATTTTTATTGTGAAAAAATAAGTTTTTTTCAAAAAGTCAAATGAACACTTGACAATTGGCTTTTCAGTTAACAATTACACAGAGCGCAAAGTGGCACATTATTGTTTTGCCCTACCTTTAGATGTTTTAACCACTTTACTTTATAACCAAAGGCGCTGCTTGTCAATAGGCGAGGCAGTCAACTGCTTGGGGCCCCAGGCCAATTACAGTAGCTGCCCCAACAGGTTTGATAAACTTTAAATCTCCGCAGTCAAAATGTGCACATTTTGCTATGACAGTAAACCTCCCTAATGGGGCCCCATCTGACAGCACTCACTCGCATTGCCCTGCTCAGCATCTCATGTATTATTCCTGTGAAAACCAAATTTTGCTAATGAAAGTTACTGAAGGAAAATTAAGAGGAATTATCTGTCTGAGAGAGGAGCGTCGGGACACTGGCCAACATAATGGTGGTTGGAGGGGCCCATAATTAATTTTGCCAAGGGCCCCAACAGACTCTTGAATCACCACTGTTTATAACCTCTTTGTATGTTTGTATGTATTGTGCCCATATTTGTCAGATAAATGTAATGGAGTAAGAAGTACTCCCCCCCCTGTTTCATCTTGTATTGCGTTTCCTCCTAACCCATGAGTGTTTTATCTTGGTGACTAAGAGTATTAGGTGCTAATCATGAAACACAGTGTCCCTGGTTTTAGTAAAGTTGGTGCCCTTTTATGCATGGTGTACCCCTTCTTCTCTTCCCTGCATTTTCTGTTATCTATCTTCTGTTTACTGACTATTAAAGACATACATTGCCCCCAAAATACAAAAAAGTAATACTTTGTTATAAACAAATGATGAACAAATAGTTTTTAGGCATTTTGCCGTAATCAGTGATACATTCTGTGAAAAAAAGATACCAAGTTTTACATGTATCATTGTAGCCTATTGCTTTATGGATTTGGCAACTGTTGTGTGTTGTCATTAAAAGTTGCAGATACCATCTCACTCAATGTGTATCTGTAATAACATTAAAGAGACGTGGCACATTGCAATGTCAGTATATTTTACCTTATTTATAAATAGTTTTTCCAATTCACTGTCCTTTTTATGATGAGTAAGGAACACCTTAGATTAATGAAATGTACGCTCAAAATCTTGAGATGTTTTGTAACAATGATGACAGGATGGAGTGGTTGTTTAATTTCAATTTCAACTTTTGTTTTTAAAGTTTGGAAGAAATGTCAGGATGGTTTATTTTCATTATTATAATCATTGTCTACTTCTGGTCTTTGGTCTCTTTGTATTAAAAATAGTGTCTGTAAGCCTGTTTTGGGTTGGGCATATTCTTTATGCATGACAGAAGAATCAAATAAAACTAATGAATCATCAATATTTTCCCACAAATAGGGTTCTATCATGTTTTTCCACCAAAGTAATGGACCCATTTTCACTAATCAAGCTTAGTATCCCAAATGAGCTGCTCTCATTACACTCCAGTGTCCTAAAGTCACCAGACTGTTGTGTATATACCACATTATTAATGTTTCTATACTGCTATGCTGTTGTGAGGTGTTATTCATCTTTGATACAAATGTTTTCACAAGGGTGTTAATATTTTATTGTTTATTAGATGTTTAAATCGTTGACTTATTTTGAATAAAATAATAAACCATGAACTATTTTCTTGTTAACTCCCTTAAAATGCATGCTATGCAGTAGGATATCTTGCTTAATGGCGGAGATTTAGAATATAGTCATGTAAAATAATGTATTTATAAGTATTTACAGAAATTCTGGTAAATATACCTGGATAAACATTCATATGCAAAAATAATTAGTGTCACACACCAACAATTAACATGCATCAGAACCCTATACCGCCACACCCAAGGAGTGGATCACATATATATACAATGATCTGTCCAGAACAACTAGTGTGGTGATCCTTCACAAACCACTGTAGAGAACCCGTGTAACAAAGAGCAGAACTCAGAGGAATCTAGGTCTCTGCGCCTCCATCAATCTCTGTGCCTGGACTGTCCACAGCAACTTGTGTAAGATACATGGACCTCCCCGGACCTCCATCCCCGGTGTAATTGATCAAGAGCATAATAGGGTATTGAGCCAGGATGAGATGAAGATTCAATTAGCATCGACTGTGTGTTTTCTAATGAAATTCTGAGCACCATTATCGTCACATCAAAAGTGTGGAGAGCAAAAAGCCAAAGACTCTCCCCTGAGGGAGAAAAAAAGGGAGTTTGTGAGCGAGAAAGAAGAGAAACACTGAGTAAGTCAGAGGTGTATGATGTTTGTTTTTTTGGTTTAAAGAGGTGGGTGGGTGGATTAAACCTCTAATCCAGATGCAGATAAAACATTTTTGGCAGAAGTGAGTGACGCTATCCTGCTGCTTCACCTAGCCATAATCTCATATATTTGGCATAAAGGAAGAAAGGAAAAAGAGTAAATATTAAGTAGCTGAGATAATATCAGTGTCAGAAGTAAATACAGCATTCAATAAAATGTGAGAAAGCCTCCTGGAGGTTTAGGTGGAACTGACAAATGTTTTCTCAGATGTCTTGTATTTTCCTTGCTTGCATGATCAAACAAGCAAAATCTGTCTGCAGTATTACCTCCAATACAATAGTTATTTTCAGTTTCAGGGTAAATGTGATCAAAAATGATACCTCACTCGGATTCTATTAGCATAAATACAGGCTCCCTCAAAAGGAGTCATACACCACCCATCATCTTAAGAATGTTTCACGGTTGGGTTTCATGCTATAATTGAATCCATAACCAACTTCCCTTCAATATATTTCAGAAAATTAGACTTACATATCTTCACAGAGAGCTCGGGCATGAATTCCCAATCAGAGTGAAATGTAACTTTATTCATTAGTGTCCTAACTGAGTAAGATAGATAGCATGAATATGCTGCCCAGCTTGTGCTCTTTGTGCTTCTGGCTCTGAACAAAAACATTCACAAATCAGTAAAAAAGACAGTTTAAGAGATTTTAATGTGCTTTTCGTACAGTATATTGTATGCATATCCAGCATAGCATTTCTCATACATATAACTCTCTTATATCCAGGGTTTGCAACTTAGAGCTGAGAGGATGATTAACAGTCAGCCTACCATAACATTAGGTCTGTCATACAGCGTCGGCACAGCACAGCCATTTGCCAGGCTTCTTCTGTAGTCAAAGGGCATAATTCTAAATCCAGCTGTTTTCAACCGAATTCCCCGAAATGCAAAAAATAAATAACACTGAGAAACCAATATCTAAAAACAGTAAGAGAGCTGAGGCTGAGTACAATATTTACAGAAAGAAGAAACAAAATAAATTAAAACAGAGGGTAACAAATACAAAGTTTGAAGGAAAGTCAGAGAAATCTGAAATATTCTAACCATCCTTAACTCTGATTATATTTGATTTAAATCCACAATTCACAGCAGTTCAGAGGCAAAAAAAAACTGTCCCCTGTTTCTTCATAGTAATCAATATGACTATCATTTCCTTCATTATCATTATAATAATCATCGTTGTAGTCATTAATATAGTCTCTATTTTTTGCTCTTCTCAGTTCAGTCTAATTTATCCTAAGTAAGGGTGCTCGCTTTGGAAGTTGTAGTCCGGACACACTTTTTGAACCAGCTTGTAGTCGATGCTAAAGAAAGAGATGAAGATGCAGATCACCTTGAAGGGTTTGGCACAGAGCCAGGCGGCATGAGACTGGGTGTGCTCCGTGAAGCAGGTCTGAGATGGATCATACAGGCAGGGTTTGGGCTTCTTGGATCTGTTGGTTTTCTCATACTCCACCCGACAGTTAAAGGTTTTTGTCTCTTTGTGGTCGACAGTGGCCTGCTGGGTCTCCTGGAGCTGGACTTCTTGTTGAGTGTGGGGGTGAAGCTGCTGCTGCTGAAGAACCTCAAACTCCACCACTTTAGTTGGCGGCACGATGCTGACCGAAACGTTTCCCAGGCTGGATGAGTTGTGCCGGAAATAAACGGTGAACGTCCCATTGATGTGGTCTACAATTTTCCCTGTTACCAATAAACTGAACTTCATGGTCTTGACATTAAAGTAGAAGTCCCCCCAGCCAAAGATCTTTTTGGTCTTCATGGCGGTCTTTAGCGAGGGTTTACGCTTGGAGCGGTACCCTGTCTGGTCTAGGAAGAGCGACTGGTTCCGGGCCGAGTCATACGGGTTGAAGAAACTGTAGGTGGGAGGCTTGGATTTCATTGGTGTCTGGTCGATGGAGGTGGAGAAGATGCGTGTTTGGTATGGAGGCTTAACAACTCCCCCTGTCGTTCCCCCTGCTGTGCCTCCACCCATGCCATATGGAAGAGTCTTCATCACAGACCCCACTGGGCCCAGATCTGAGAAATCCACCTGCTTCTCCAACCCTTGGACCTGGAGATAGAAAAACATATTTTACAATGGTGCAAAGACTGATACATTTACATTTTAAAATATTCTCAGAGACTGTGCAACCACACAAAAATAACAGCATCAGTTGTTTCAAATATGTGCAGTGCATTTTCCTATTTTTGACCTCGGCCTCCATAAAAAAATTGAACTCTGGAAAAGTAATTTTTTGCAATGGATTCACAAAATCTGCAGAGGTTAGGCGTCAGGGAGGAGCGATTGATCAAGACTTTGCGATTTTTTTCCTGTATTTGACACAACAGCTTAAGGGAGACAGAACATTTGGGGAGAGCGTGAGGGATGACATGCACCAAATGGCGTCAGGACCAGGGAATTGATAATTCAACAAGAGCATCAAGGACGATAGCCTCTGTACATGGAGCATCTGCTCTACCAACTAAGCTAAAGCAGCACCCCTGGTTTCTGTCCTCACCATCAGTCAATGCTGTTTTTCTTTGACCAAGACTTTAACAAGTTGATTGCAACCATAAACATGAAGGTTCCTGACGTAAAGAACTTTTTTTTTTTAACACATACCATGATCTTTGATGTACCTTCAAGTCTTCATCTAGCCTACACCTATCCAAACCTTTATCACAGCACTATATCATGTTTGGGAAAGTGATCTGTTACTATTTAGGATGGTAATATCAAACTGTTTTGTCTGACTGTTACTGGCATCAAAAAACACTTGCTAAGGGAGGGCTGGCCCAAATTTCTATACTTATGTAAGATTTAAAATGTATGGATTCACCGATAAACTCCAACGCATACAGATTTTCTAAGGGTAAAAAAACAGAATTTCAAGTTAGGCAAACACTGTATGTTTTTTATGTAGCTTGCAGCGTTAGCTTTCCCGACTTGTTCTTTTCAACTCATTTGCAAACAAAATAAAATCCTAGGCGTTGTCAACACTACGTTCACGTAATGGAAAGGTGCTTTTTTAAATCTAAATCTGTATTTTGGCAGCATACTAACTAGACTAATTGGTGACTGTTTTGATTTAATTAATCAACAACAAACCCAACAGGAATTTAACCCCAAATTGCAAGTAATTTGGGGTAAAAATCTAGGTAAAGCTGTCTGCCTGGCAGTTCAACATCCATGTAGCAGTTCCAGGGTTTCAAACCTTGGTTCAAGGACAATAAATAATAATACGATGATAAGATGTACTGTAATATCAGCCCCCTTCCTGAAAATGCAACCAGTTCTCTGTGTGGCCTCTTCAACTTCTTAGAGGGTATTTTATGTAGAAATTTACATTAGGTCTGGTCTAGTCTTATTATACCAACACAATTTTGTCCCAGTCGTATTTTACACACATAATCATAGTCTCAAATGTTGTACAGGTCACACTGCTGCAGAGATCTTCATTTCTCACATGATTTTATTTCCTTGAGCATCCAAATTGTTAGATGTTTCTGTGTTTCATCTCTTGAATCCGAGAAAACAAAACCATCTATTTTTGTTAACACACTTTAATTTTGTTGTCAGTCTTGTTCCGGAGAGAAAAACAACTCTGCATGTGAGGTAATGGATGTGAGCCTTTGTTAGTTCAGACAGCTTTCTGCCTTTAAGCCACAGTCGTGGTGCTTATTTACAGGGCTGATTGACTGGAAATCTTCCTCTGCTCTCTTTCATGTCTCATCAATCACATCACTGCCATGCTCCCATCCATATGCATACATGAACACACACGCACTTTTAAAAAACACACACTCAGGCACACAGACACATCGGCACACATGCAAACTTCAAGCTCAGAGCTGTCATGAAATGACAGTGAGAGGTATTGCAACTATCCAGAGGGGTTATATGTGTTTCCCCCGAGGATGCATTTGGATGGAGTTTAAAACAGTTCTTTGAGCCGATAAACAAACCAAACAACACAAAATAAATGAAGTCCGCATTTCAAAAACAAGCACAGGATCAGATCTTTGTGTCTACTCATGTTTCTGTCTCATTCCTTCACTTATATGCAGGGCAGTGGAACCGACAGGCTTGTTCCAAAGCTCTCCTCGTCTTTCATCAATCACAGAACCTAATAATAACTCCATATTGCAACAGTGCAGCGCTCAATACGGCTTCTAACGTGTTCAGTCATTCAATTAATGCATCTATGTCTGTTGGCCATTCATTAACATACCTGCAGAGGGCTGGTTTCTAAGTAGATTGATTGAGGGGAAAATAACTGAAAGTTTATTGACCACCGGAGGAATGAATTAGTAAAAAAAAAGAAAGGTGTTGATAAATGACCTGTGACTGGGATAATGACCCACTGAAGATTTTTAACAGACCCAGAGTAAATTTGCTGCCATGGCGAGAAATGTATGCTAGGGCAGTCCATTTGCTTTTTTAGAACTGCCAGATTTTAAAAATTTACGAATTTACGGCATTTACAAACTCCACCTCCTTGATAAAATAATTTATAAGAAACTTAAATCTTTGTAAAGATCTTTGAAAAGAAGGGAGGGACGGGACGGGACGGGACGGGACGGGACGGGACGGGACGGGACGGGACGGGATGGACAGGACAAAACAGGACAAAACAGGACAGGACAGGACAGGACAGGACAGGATAGAATAGGATAGGATAGGATAGGATAGGAAAGGATTGGAGGAAAGGACAGGACAGGACAGGACAGGATAGAATAGGATAGGATAGGATAGGATAGGAAAGGATTGGAGGAAAGGACAGGACAGGACAGGACAGGACAGGACAGGACAGGACAGGACAGGACAGGATAGGATAGGATAGGATATGATAGGACAGGACAGGAAGAGTACAAGATAGGACAGACCAAGATAGGACAGGATGAGAAATGAAACTAAAATTCATGAAACATTTGTATTGGACTTGAATGCTGCACACAATGACTCTCACCATTATTAATAAATAAACAATCTTAAACAAAAAAATACTTCATACCACATTTGCACGTTGCCTACATTGCCCACATTCCGCATATATGTAAAATGAGAGATAAAAGATAGGAGCACAAGAACACAATGAAGCTATATATTGCACAACCACCAAAGCCACAAGAACCATTATTCACAATTTTGATTTTTGCAAGAGATAAAAAATTGGTTTAAAAGGGTTCACTTAGAATTGGGGTACTCTGTGTTGTCTGGCCCGAATCTCATTTTGCTCGACATGTCTGGGCTAACAACAGACATTACAACTCATTGAGCTGAATTGCCTACAAACAAAATAATGCATGAGAGGTTACGTCTCCTATTGTTTATGTTTTAAAAAAAAAAATTCACATGTATATATTTTTCTTGTATATTTTTTTAGGGGTTTGATTAAGGTAAAAAAAAAAAAGGCTATACCTATTGCTGCCAATTGGTATAGGTCGGGCCGATGCAGTGGTCTTGAAATTTTAAAGTCGCTGAATTAGTGATGTGACTGACTATGGCAGTGACAGGTAGGAATAAGCTACACTTGATGGCAGAAAAAACCCATCCAAATACGGACAGCAACAAACAGTGTGTACAGTGCATACAAGATAGGGACTTCCTGTGAATGCGCTGTCAGCAGTGCTGTCAGCTAGCTCTGCGTGTTGCCATCTGTCAAGCTAACACTCTGCTGGTGCAGTCCTAATCATTTCTCCTGCTGATGGCACACAGCTCGAACTAGCACCATCATCATAATCCTTAACCATCCTCAGTGGCAACATCACGGCGTGAACCTCCACCTAACCTTCAGGGTCAACTGTATGAAGCCCAGAAATGAGTTCATGATGGGGTCTGAGGTCAGCCTGGGTTTTTTTTAAGGGGGAACAAGCAACTGTACACAGTCAGCAGCTTTAACAAACATCGATCGAGTTCTGTGGCATAGAGAAAATAAATGCCAACAGAAGCCAATAAATAGACGGACCTGGTATTAGCATGAATATGAATTTTTTGCTGTGGACATTTAATCCATTTAACGGGTGAGGATTTGTTAGAAGAAATATCAGATATTTTCTCTTGACATGAAATCTATGAGTAATAGACTTTTTGCAAAATGGTGGATGTTTGCTATAAGGTCATACGAGGCTGCTTAAACCATCAAAAGATTCACAGTTTGAAAAAAAGAAAAGAGAAACAGAACCACACTTTTCTTTCTCCTCAGCCTCTCTTCAGTTTGGACTCGATATGTGAGAAGTAACTTTTGAAGCATTAGCCAGAGGGATGATGCTGGGGGGATGAAGAGGAGATGAGACAGAGTACACACAGGTGCACACACATAATCACACAGTAAACACATTATATTTACACGCAGAGCAGCTCTAATAAGACAGACCTGCAGATTAAAATGTAAAGAATGTTTGTAAGAAACATGCACCGACTGGTATTAATCAGCGACAAAAAAATGTAAAGCTGTTGTTTAAAAGCTTTTTCCTATGGCCAATCTACTGTATGTTTGAAACCACATCCATCAGTTAAAGTCGCATAAATGATTTCAGCAAAGTGCTCAAAGTGCTCTGATGTTACCAACACATTGATGTCAAAGCTGGTTCACATTTGCCAATAAGCAATGAGCACAACGTGGGTCTAAGGCTGATTCAAATAAAGTTAGTTTTGCGGGTGGTTTGTCATATACCAAAGTACTGAACTGAATACAAGTACATGATCACTCACAACAAAGATCACATAAAAAATTGACGTTCATAACAGTAAATATAATTCTCCTCCTAAGGGGAACATAAATGTCTGCACTAAATGTCAAGTCAATCCATCTGATGGTTGTTGAAACATTTCATTAGTGCTAAGAGCTTTCATTAGATCTTCATTAACGCTTAGAACTAAAGTGAGCCTTGAGAGGAGAGAAGTCAAGGGAGCATGAATATAGCTATGGATGTATCCTGTGGGCACCATGAATATCTAAATGATAACAAAATGATGTCAAAAGTTGTCGAGATATTTAAATCTGGACAACAGATTGGCAGATAAGGCCAGAGCAACAAGGTTAAAAATCTTCATCTTATTTGGATCAG